TTAAATTTCTCCACAAGGATAGAAAGCACTTTGACCATGAACATTGTACTTTTCTAGACTGTAAAACATATCTGCTGCAGATATACGTCAGTGCAAAGTTTGGTTACCTGACGCTATGACCGGAACATCAACCGTTGAATGCCAACAGCTGATTGATGTTGCTGGTCCACATCATAGCAAGAAACTCGTTGGCGTTTCGTCATCGCGAAGCTACGTTTTAGAGGCGACTTTTCACGTCAACTATACGGGTCAAGTCAGAGATGTTCTTCGTTCACTGCGGAATGCGAAGCAGGTGAAACCACATCGGATGCTTTGAGAGATCGCCAGGGTGTGAGGGAACTAAAACAGAGGTGCTTCGTTGTCGACAGGCGAGAAGAAGACCGGTGAGAAGAAGCTTAGGGAGGGCCTCCCTGATTGGACGCCGTACATTCCGCATCGTGTGTACACGCCTTCTGTGCGAAAACTCATCGAATTAGTGATCACACTCTACACGATCTTTTTCCATTTTCTGGGCGGTATGGCAACTCTATCGGCATGTTGATTTTATACGAGCGTACATTCAACCTGTCATTGATGCCTTGAAATATCATGTGGAGCTCATGGACAAGTGTATTCAGTTTTAAACAAGTTGTTTGAGGAGATGACAGATCAGTGGCTTGCTTATATCAAACCAGGATATGTCATCCTTTCCTCTTTTGCCTCACCCCTTGATTGCTGTGGGACGCCGAGGTGTGGTCAGTGGGCTACAGCATTTCCCTATCTATTGCAGTTGCATTTCAACCGCTTTACCACCTCTTTGAGCCACTCTTTAAATTAATTTATCTGCTCTTTATAAAGACACCTTACACCATCTTCCAGCCAGCTTTCTCTTTAGGAGCAAAGTGTTTTTCATTGTTCTACGATGCTGTCCTTTGCCGCATTCTTTTGGCACAGTTTAGTAATATCAAACGTTCATTTTGCTGGTTGGTTGAAATTCTGGAAAAGAGCATGAAGTTTGATCCACTCAAAGCACAGCTAATTCTCATGAGATCAACTGTCATCAACAGTGGTAAAGCTCTTAGTCTTGGCTTGGTTTATATCTTTAAAACTATTGAACGACGGGTGTGGTTAATGATTGCAAGGCCAGTTGAAGACAAGGGACGACTAATAGTAGTCTGTACAGATTATAGATGGTGGATATAACTCCTCTGCCAGAACAGGTTCTTTGTGTGAAATGATGCATATCACAGTGGTACTCAAATGTGCCCATGGGCTACTATTAAAATGCCTACTAATAAATTTAATAATAATTATTGTATTGGTGTTTTTACAGTACTGCAGTTAAACTGCTATTTAGGGACATCTCTGTAGTAAGTGTACCAGCACATGATTACTAACAACTCCGCTTGTCCTAAAAAGTAATGAAACTACATGAACTAGTATGATAAGGACCCCTTTATGAAACCTTGCCTGCCTCCTACCTACAATAATACTGTCAGAAATCGTTGAAGCAGATACCGTGTTCTGAATTTTCTATAAATTTATGATATTCACTCTTCTCGCACGTTTATTCTCACTGAAATGTGCCCCTCTCCTTCCCACTGTTGAGTTATGCGTATATTGGAGCACTGAGACAACTGGAATACCCAAATCAATATTGGGGAAGGGGAAATGCTCACAAGTGTTTTCAAGATTTGGATCAATTTAGGTTCTGAAACTACCCACCTACCCCTCTCCTAATCCAACATTTTGCCTTAAGTGAGAAGTAAGTGTTAATGTTGACTAAGGGCATGGGTAGGTGGGCAGTTCCCAGAAATCTAAATTGATCTCAAGATTTTTGATGAGTATTGTAGGTGCCTATATGTAAGGGTAAAGGAGCATTGGAGCGTTAAAGGTTAATACAATGGACCAAAGTGTCTTTCCTGCTTCAAAAATTATTTTGTTTCCAAGCTTACCCTTCATCTTACGGACCTTCCTCAAAACCCCTGGGTATAGGGCGGGATTCATGATTTAATGGTCCCTTTGATCTTGTGAATGCTTCATGGATCTTGTTCAGAGCTCTGCACACTGGTTTCCATGGTGAAACTACAGCTTGGTAGTGTCTTAACTCTTTAAACCCTAAGATCAACATTTGAATTCTCATTTGTTGTCCCTATTCATTTCTTACAGAAGTAGTGGGGAGAAGTTGATAAAATATCAAGCAAAATCATCTTGTGTGATCATGTCTGTAATTCTCATGACCACTCTGTTTTACAAAGCATTGATATTACAAGGAGAAATTTGATGCTGATCGCTCTTAGGGCTTAAATGGTTAAAAAGGACAGCTTGGAAATGAATTTGTTTGTTATCTCTTGACTTGTTTCTTGAAATTTGAGTGTTACTTGTTAGCTTAAAGCTTAGGCTTAATGTTTGATATTATTTTTATGCTCATCTCCACAGAGGATGATGCTTTAAATTATGCAGTTTGGAAAAGACTGCTTAAATCAATATTACTCTCTGATTATTTAAAAAGCATGCCAAATGATTGTAATGTTAGTATAGGTAATAGCATGATTTGTAGTGATATTTGGTATAAATACCACCAGTGATATTTCAAAATTGTTATACATAATTTCACGAGCCGTTAGGCGAGTGAAATTTGAGACAACACGAAATATCCAGTGATATTTATGCCAAATATCGCGATAAATCATGCTATTATTTGTTTATACTACTACCCACGAAAGGTTTGTAATTTTCACATGTAGGTATTTCAAATTAAACTGAAATACCACTGCTCTAAGCCAATCAAATTGCAGTAATTTCTCATGTAGTAGTATAAATGTCATAATGGGAGAAAATAGGATAATCTTTATCCTGAAAGTTGAAATTCCCCTTTGAGTTATTATTTATTACAAAATCACAGAGAAAGAATTCTGTAATAATATTTATTATGATGAGATTGAAATTACATGTGGTTGAGTTACTTTATAATGACTGCTGTATAATCATACAGCATTTATAATTGTATAATTATTATAGAATCTACAGCATGTGTATGCATGGCTATTAAAGTTATTATCAAAATATGCATGGCTCCATATATATGCAAAATTATACCCTAACCCCGTAATAAAAACTGCAATTTGTGGCTCAATGTGTCCTAGAATCTATTTTTGACTTTTAGTTTACTTATTATTGTTAATTAATCACAGCAAAAAAATTGTTATTGGACATTTTCCCTATCAGTCATTATTTTTTCTTTAGTACAGTATATAATAATTTATTATTATTTTTAACAGTATCAATGTATAAAAAGAAAACGATTTACCAGTAGTGTGAATCATAAAGGGCTCGAAAATTATACTGCTGCACTGAGAAATACATACCCTCAAACGTAAGTTTGAACCTGATTGCTTCTAAAAGGCTCTAAACAGCCAGTGTTCAAGAAAAGAGACACTCCCCTCAAACAACAAGGAAAGCAAATGCACCCTGGTAGGGAGGTGACTACTCTTGTACCCCTTGTGATGTCATAGCCTGCGTAGCAGGCGCTTGGAAGTAGCGGGCGAAAGAGAGAACTTGTGCCCACTACTTCCAAGCGCCTGCTATGCAGGCTAGGGATGTCATTTCTTTTTGTACTTGCATATACTGTTTGTGGAGTAATTTTAAAAAAGAAAATATCAATTCGGGATTGAAATGATATTTCTGACATCATGATACTCCCCCACCCACCCCACACCCTTTTCCTTCCCTCACCCTGAATTGAAAAGACCTGGAAACGAGAAAGAAGTTTACGAAAGACGAATCATACATGACGTACTTACTGGATCAAATATGGCGGCCGTGTGTCGTGCTCTTCGGTTGTTGGGAATAACTTCTACAAATCCAAGTAAGTCTGGCCATCAATGGAATCCCTTGATCTCTTTTATACAGCAAATTTAATAGAGAAGGATTTCATCTGTACAAACTGGTGCTAAACAAAGTGAAAGTCAGCAAAAGTGATTCATGAATTTCACCAGAATAACCAAAGGTTATAGTAATCCTTTGACAGCACTGATTGTTGATGCCTTGATCTTGCCTTAGGTGCTTTAAAAAGTCTTGAATGCATTAATAGATTTCATCAGCAGCGTATCCCATCCAAGTGTTTGCATTCATCCGGTAAGACTGATTCTGTTGTAAAAGTGGATCTTTTATTTAACTTTGGATAATTTAAAATCACGTTTTCGAAATAAACATTAAGCTCAAAAAAATATATATATATAAAAATACGTAATTAAGCTAGTGATCATAAGCATAACTTCGCTCGCTTATAAAGACTTAAGATTAGAGATTTAGTCCAAATCATAAACAGTTGAGCCTGCATGACCTTATCAGGGACACCAGAAGGCAGACTGTGGCCAAGCGGTTAGAGTGCTGGACTTGCTATTTGGAGGCCCCGAGTTCAAGTCGTGCACTGACCGCTAGCTGGATTTGTTCATGGTAGTCCCGAGTCCATCTCCTTGTAAGTAGCCGGCTGTTTTGTATCCAGCCTGTTGGAATTCTTAGTCCCGTTGTGTTTGATTATACTTGAATTATTTGTTTTAGTCATTTACTTAGGCCCACTAGCATATTATTTCTATAAATACTTCTGAGGGTAAATACAGCAAAATATTATTATTATTATCATTATTATTATTATGACCAAATAAAAGGGACAGACCCTACTGCCCTATCACAGAGGTGGTCTTGTTACATGTATATGGGTAGAGTAGGTATTGTACATGTATGTCCTTTCAGTGATAAAATTTCTGTAAAAAGAAATTCAACCGTATTTTCCATCGTTAACTGTAATCTTATCTATAAATGCCTTTGTCAATGAGTGCTTGATTTGATCTGCTTTGCTAATGCTTTACCATTAGAGAAATTTGTGTGAAATTCTAAAATGATTTTGGAATTCAATGTGAATTTTTATGAATTTTTACAGCACCTATGTTAGGAGGAAGGAAAAGAAGTGAATGGAGGCAAGACAGAGTTCCCGCACATACCAGGGTATTGTTCTTATATAGTTTTATTAATTTACTTTGAAGTAAAGTGGAAGGGGATGGCATAGATAAAGAAATTGTGATGTTTATTATGTGAGGTTGTGAGACACATGGTTTTCAAGTGGATTAGTCTTAGATAGGGTATTCAGCAAGGAAAAATTGTTATCATTGTAGGGGAAGTAACATGTTATCAGTGGTACATGTATACTGAGAGTTTGATGTTTTTTATTTTGTTGTTGTCTTTTCAGCTCAGGCTTGATAAACCAGAAAAGATTAAAGTTAGAAAAGCATTTGGTGGACACAAAAAAATCAAAGGCATCAAAGTCAAAACTGGTCTGTACGTTTGTAATTCTTTAGGTAAGGTTGTTTGTTATGGTGATTTCTTGGTGCAGTTTTGGTTGATGTACGCTGCTTGTTTATAGGAGGAAAACAAATGATGTCATAATGACATTTTAGCCTAAAATAGTACTGTACTTTATATGCCATATCCTATACTGTAGAACCTACAGAATTATTATAATCTTGCCCAAAAACATGTTGTTCATGTATATTTTACTGAAACAGCTTGTTTTAACTTGCACAGATGTAGAATTTGAGTGTCCTATTCTAAAAGTGGTACACAATACAGCAAATGACAACTTTACAAAAAATGGAGTGATGGTCAAGGGAACCATTGTTGAAGTAGATTCGAATCCTTTCAAGAACTGGTTAGTAACACTTGATTTTTGATTAATTAGTTTTACTTATTAGCACTTTAACTGTCACAAAACATAAAAAGAAGATATTAATATGTTAATTTGTTCCATATTCAGTCTACTGTTCTTGCTTTGTATTCTAAGCTGTATTTTTCGTTGTTACAGGTTTACAGATAACTATAAAAAAGAAGAAGACAAGCAAAATGAGGTATATAATGAGTCGGGTCTTTTGGCTTTTTCTTGTCTGTTCTTTTGAGAGTGTCAAAATGTAAATGCATAGGGGCCTTAGCTAGCTGTTTACGGGATTGCAGTCGTTTCTTTATGCATTTGTAGGTTGTGCTTCTAGTGTGATTGATCTTATACTTATACAAAGTCTCAGAATGACCAATATACGTAGGCCTCCCACATAGACATTCTTAGGGTTTTGTCACACATTCCTTCCCTTTGTCATGCATTCCTTTTGTTCATCACGCATTCCTCCCCTTCGTCATTCATTCTTTCCCTTCATCACACATTCCTTCCCTTCGTCACACATTCATTCCCATTCCTTAGGTACATGGGGAAGGTACCTGGGATGAATTCCTACGAATGTCTGCATGGGACGCTATGAACAATACTGATGACTGTATGTTCCTCTCTCTGTTTGTTACTCATTTGCTAGGAAAACTCATCACTAGAGCAGCTACTGCCTTACATGGAGACTGGAAAGCTTTATGGTAAGGACATAAATTATACCCCACAACCCTTTTTCGGCATCATGAGACTCAATAGTTGCATAATTTCCCCTATTTTGCCCTCTTCCCACCCTTTTAGAACTCCCACCTCCTGTCCTTTCCTTTCCCAGCTCCTGTACCCTCTGCCCCTATTTTCCCGGGCTCCCACCCTCTGACTTTCCCCACCACTTTTGACCTTTTTGACGTCTGTCTGTTACATTTATGTACCACAGTAAATTTATCTCAGGAAAAAGTGCACACACGCGCAGTTATATCTTCCACGAGGCTAAAATTCCCAGCTAATGCATGGTGAAAAAGGCTCATTATAAAGTAAAGTTAGCAACTTACATGTAGTCTTCCCTGCCTGTCTTGCAGCTAAGATAACTACACGGCCAGGTCAAGTTGGTGCCTGCAATGGTTACATCCTGGAAGGGGATGAGTTAGAAACTTTGTTAAATACACGTCAAGATTTAAGATTATCGATGGAAATGAAAGTGGAAAAGCAGTAGTAAAACAAGAATATCTCCGTTGACCAACATGGACAGCACCTTTTACGATTTGCCTTACTGATACAAGGACAGTATTATCCAACTCCGGCAACTCTGTAAATATCGGCCTTTGATCGAATAAAAAAGGATGCTATGTCAAGCTACGTTTTTTTTGGCTACATGATGCAAATGACTAATCTTTCATAACCTTTAAGACAGAACTGCTCAACTTTTTAAGTCAGAAAACAACCGTAAATTTTGCGCCTTTGATGCGCAATACCACACCCATCAACAAAGGCAAATAAAATTGAAACCATGGAAAAAATTAAACCGCGACACATACAAGAAATATTTTCCCCTGACCTTGCCAATGAAGGAATTACGTGCGGTGTTTCCTGACGCTCTGGAAACGAAAAAAAAAAGAAACAAAAACAAAAGAAGACCATCCACAATAATTATCTCTTACAACAATTTTACTCGGTACAAACTCCGTCTTATATTCAACTAATAAACTCGGCAGTTCTCAGTTCATTACAAAATCGACTACCAGAAATATTTTGCAAAAAATGACAACATGTTTTCGTCAGTAATTATTGTAATTATTACAAAGTAATAAATTCTTTAACGTGTCTCTTGGAGTGATTTTAATTACCATGAAACGATATCCAACAATCATTGCCAAATAATTACAAGTAAACAAAGGAAGACACTGAAATTAGAGTGTAACGCTGTGTACTAGTCTAATACGTGTCTATTTCACGGCTTGAATAAAATCACTCTAATCAACGTTCAGAACGTTATACAGTACACTTCCATTAATTTCATCTCTTAAGCCATATATTAATATAGTTTCTGTGGGAAAGGTAACATTAGCCTTAAATTGATAGTCCGTTTGTAAAAAAACCCAAGTGAAGTTAACTATGTATAATAGAAAATATTCTTCTTCGATCCAAAATTCATGAAGTTCTAAATAGTATCCAAAATAGTTTCCCTTCGGGAGTGGTTTTTTGTTGTTGTAGTACTGTTCTAATTTCTTTGTTCGTGTCAGGAAAGGCGAAGACGAAGCTCAGGCTAAATACAAACCTATCCATCGGTTAAACTTTAAACCGGGGATGAAAATGTGATAAAGAAGGTCAAAATGTACAGTAGTCCAAGTTTTACGTACAAAAGCCTGAGATGAACTCGGTCAAAAGACGCAACGAACCGTTTACTCAATAGACCGCGTGAACGAGATGCGAGCCACACCTTAAACTCTAATGAGGAAATAACTAGTAGCCTGCTACAGGCGAAATGATATATTAGGGAGCTTAAGCCCAGATGACGGCGATGGCAACAAGAACGTCGAAAAAGGCAATAGGTTTAGATTAGCAAAACAACAACTGCGCACGCGCATCACGCATTTTCGTTCATATCTGTGCCGCTGTAGAACGACTACAACGTGAAACTTCTTAGTTTCATGTTTTATGAACGACGTTAACACGAGAAAACAGTTTCCTTCTTCTTCTCCTATACTTAGATACAGTCCTACAGAATCAACTCAGCATTTGACAAATTGAATGAAATGGAATAAGAGCCATGAGGTTTGAAACAGTACGAATTCACTTTTAAAGTGACGTTTTCGTTGCCGTTGGTGCTCCCTATTGATACAATAAGCGAACTTTAATTGAAGGAACAACGGCATGAGATATGCATATCTTAGTTCCGGTCAAAAAACGCGAGGTTGCCATGACAATGATATTGAATGACAATAGTTTTAGTACAGTGATGTACAAACCGGAACAGTGAGTGATGTCCATCAGGTCGTCTATAGATGTGACATCAAAATTGTGAATAAGAGATTTGCTTGGAGGTAAAGCAAGAGAAATTTCATGATGAAAGCAAGAGACTAAAGAAAATAAAGAAGCGCACATACTTCTCTAATAACGTTGCTCCTCTAAAAGTAGAGCAAACAGCCTGAGCTTGTCATATTCTTAACATACAAAGGCCTTTTTAACAATTAACGGTCGTAAACAGGAAACCAAAATTGTCTTCGAACTATCACAAACGAGTCCAGAGTTGAAACTCGTTTGACACGGCTAGTGTCTCTTAGCGATTAGCGGATGCTCTTTGCGATTTCCTGGCCACAAATTACCATGAAATTACCACGTGCTCATACGCGCGATTTGAATTCGCACCTAATGTCCCATCAAAAATCAGCAGTCTGTAAACAGTCCTTTAGACTGCAAACCAAAACTGGGTAACAGAGTTCAATTGTATGTTTTAATAACTGAGACAATGCATCGTCTGCAGATAGCACAAACGCGTTCATCCAGTCGCATCTGTAACGCACACTGATAACAGAACCTATGGCCACAAACCAGGGTAGCATCCTTTGCTCTGTCCATACAGATGTCACAAGGGCTGTCTTGTACCTGCAGTGGGATGGATTCTCTAGGAGACGTTGAGTCCTGTTCTGTTATAACTGGGCTCGTGGGCAGCCGCGAATTAAACTCCTCCAGCTCAAGAACTTTCGTTTGGTGACGAGAGTCTATAAACGCTCTTTGATTTTCTTCGTCGTCATTAATGTCTGGTTCTTGATCGTAGTAACTGTCTTCGTTGTAATCATAGTCCTCTTCTGGATAGTAAGAATAATCGTCATATTCTTCCGGTTCCATCTGCATGTACTCATCAGCTTGCAGTTCCTGAGCTATGGCCGCGTCGCTCACAGTCTGCAAGTTACTGGTTTCACTGTTTTGTTCCTTAAGGATCCAGGGTCCTTTCTGAGTGCTCCACGCCTTAGGTCCACTTGCAGGGGCCCTGCTGGGTACCTTACCCTGCCCATTCACAGGCGACCCAAGAGATGGCCAAGCTTCTTCATAACTTGTCTTCGGCACAGGACCCTTACTCGTTTCACGGTCTCTCTGTGAGCTAACAAGCACGTTAGCAAACGATATCTTATTTACCTCTGTTTTACTTTCAGCTAGGAGCACCGCTTCGTTAAAAAACTCCTTTGGTTCGGGACTTTTTCCAAGAACAGCTGCGTAAGAATTTGGATCCGGCTTTTGTTTCTCCGGACGAGATTCAGAGCTCTCTTTCTTTCGCGGTGGTCGTTCGAGGTATCGATAAGAAGGATGGCGAAGAGGACAGTTGTCCCCTCGATGGCAAACGCCCCAGACCATAAACGTAGGGCATATGTTATCACTCCATTCCCTTAGCTCGGCTTTGCGTTTCTCCTCTTCCGCAAGTTCTTTCATTTCCTGCTCACGTTCCTTCTTTTCCATTTTTCTTCGCCACTTACTTCCGAATATACCTCCCACGAGCGACTTATTTGCGCCTCTGATTTCTTCAGGTCGCCAGTTTTTATCGCGGTAACTAATATGTTCCAGTGGTCTATCTGGAACAATCACGGGGTATTTGGGGTTTAGTAGCCTCTCGCGCACAGCCGGGTCGATCTTAAATTGGCTCTGTAGACTTTCCGAAGATGTTTCTTGTCCCCCATTCGTGTCTATCGCCTCTGCTACGTGCGGTTCGTCCATAGTTGAAGCAATCTCGAAGACTTCGTCATCTGCAGTTGGATTCATCACTGCGTCATAAACAGCTGCCAAAAAAGATAAAATCGTTGATACAGCGATAATGCAAAATTGTGTTTCTCTGACAAGCGCTTTCGAGAGAAGCTACGATTTAAGCCTCCTTACCCCGATGTGTCAATGTGAAAGATCAAGTGATATAACAATCATAACTTCTACAACAGATCCTTGCTTACATACTCTTTCCTTTACAAGATGTACTAAAACAGCTGCGTTGGCAATAAGAATGTCCGTGCCCGGACAAGTTACTCACAAAGTCATTCGGAATGCGCTTTGGAAAAATCAAACGCACAAGGCCCTTTTCCTTTTAGTGTGTGTTTCTGGCTCAATCAATTGCGAAGAGAGTTGGCTATGACACTACCCCTTCCTTCAGGGAACGACTGTGCATTTTAAAACCGTCGGCGACTTTTTCCGTTTGTTGGATAACGTACCAAAAATTCCTTGTATTCCCCGTGACCTAGAAAACATTTGTGTCCTGCAAATCATGTTATTGTGCTAACAAAAAAGGGTATATATAAAAACTAAAAGGAAAGAAAGAAAGAAAGAAAACAAGGAAGTCCTCCTTGATCGTGTTTGTTGTGCGTGGTTACGTCAACGTCTAGCCTCGCGCGCCTTATCTGCGTGCTGCTCGCGCGTGATCCCCCAAATGAAGAGCATTCTCGCACGCTAGGAGTGGCGGTTACAGGGGAGGGGCCCGTTTACATACTAATTGTCTATAAACAATATACTTCCCAGCAATATAAAACCAGTCTTTCCTTTTTTTCTAGAAAATATGAACCTCGTTAATTTATGAACGAACTTAGGGAAATGAGCAAATAAGAAAAATTATTACGGGGGGGGGGGGGGACAGCTCTAACAAGGGCTGTTCGGGGGGAAAGAAACAAGAAACACGAGAAATTTTTCCAGGAAATACGAGATACTTTCGGGACATTGAGCAAATACCGTAAAATTCCGAAAATAAGACTCGGGGCTTATATTTTTCAAAGACCCTTTTTGAGGGGCTTATATTCGGAAGGGCTTATCTTCGGAGGGACATTTACGTTTCAAACTCGATTGGGCTAGCCCTGTAGTTTGAAGTAAATTTACCGTTTTTGCTTTGTTTTACTTTGTATTTGAGGGCAATTTCCAAGTACAAGCCCCCCGGGGGGCTTACATTTGGAGGGGCGATTTAACGGGGGTTTTTTTGCGTTACGAGTTTGGGGGACTTATATTTGGAGGGGCTTATACATGGAAGGGCTTATGTTCCGAATTTTACGGTATTCATTTCGACCCATAAAGTTACGAATTGATTGACCACGTGCAATCCCCACCCAGTTGATTGAAAGAATCGGGGAGGGGAGGGGAGGGGTGAAGGCGATTGGCTTAATTTGTTAACAGTTGTTACGGCGTACCTGTGGACGGTTCCGTTGACAATCCAACTTTCTCTTGTGTGTAATATTCATCTGCGCATTCAGACTCGACGTGATCTCTGTTATCAGATTCAGAACGTCTACGGTTTACTAGAGGTTTGCTTCTTCCAGGTTCAGTCTCTGTGGTGTTATCGTAGGATCTCCGCCTTCTTCTGTTGTCGGGTCGACGTCGTGTATTTTCCGGATTCTCGCCCTCTATAGGATCACTCTCCGAGGTGCGGCCGAAAGATCTTCGTCTTCTTCGGTTGTTAGGTCGATGTCGGAAGTTTTCATGAATCTCGCCCCGGCCAAGTTCATTCTCCGAGGTGCGGTCGAAAGATCTTCTCCCTCTTCGGTCGTCGGGCTGATGTCGGGAATTTTCTGGAATCTGGCCCTGTACTGGATCACTCTCCGAGGTGCAATCGGAAGATCTTCGCCTTCTTCGGTTTTCAGATCGATGTTGGGGATCTCCTGGAATCTCACCTTGAATATAATCACTTTCGGAGGTGCGATCGGAAGATCCTCGTCTTCGTCGATGATCCGCAGGATGTTGCTGTTTCCTGAACGAGCCATTCACCCTTGAATCATTTTCCGAGTAATGATTGGAAGGCCTCTGTCTTCGTAGGTTTTCAGTTTGGAAATTTCGGCGATTTTCCAAAAACTCACTTCCTGTAGTGTCACTGTCTGAAGCCTTTCGTCTTCTTTGATCTTCATCACAGTCTCGGTTTGTTTCCGGAACTTCAATCCCTCGAGAATCGTTTTCTGAGAAGCAATCGACAGATCTTCGTCTTCTTTGATTGTCCATCGGCTGCTGTTTCTTAAGCGAGTCATTTATTCTTGAAATATTCTCCGTGGGATAATCGGAAGACCTTCGTGTTTTTTGGTCTTCGGTCTGGCAATCTCGCTGACATTCCAAAAGTTCAGCTCCGGTAGCATCTCTGTCCGAAGACTTTTTTCCTCTCTGACCCTCGTCTTGGCACTCTTGATAATTTTCCGGACGCTCACTCACTCTCTGATCGTATTCCGAGGCGGCATCCATGGATCTTCGTCGTATTCTTTTCCCGTTCCCACAAAATCGATAATTTTGGTGAGACTCACTCTCTCTACGATCTCCTTTTGAGGTACTGTCGGAAGATCTCCGCCTTCTTTGGCTCTGGTTTGGGCGACAATCATTTTCCGTTAGCTTACCCTGGCCTGGAGCCGTCCCCAAGCTATGATCAAAAGGTACTGCTTGCCTTGCTTGGTTAACATTAGACAAATGCTGTTGACTTTTCTCTGCGTTACGATCGAATGATCTTCGCCTTGCAGGCGTCCCCTTTGTCTTGTTATGAGTGTTTGCACTAGCCGAGCTCTGATGTCCTTCAGATGACCCACCACAACAGGTGCGCCCTTTGTTTCGGCTCTCACTAGGTGCCGCGCGTCCCTCTTGACGGTCAGTCACGTTACAATCAGTCACGTGACTATCAGCGACGTAAGCAGTAGCCGTCTGTATCTGCTTACACCAATCATGGCCTGCGTTACTATCGTCAATTCTAGCGGGATCAACTTTCCTCTCGCCTTCAGAGACTAGGTTACGGTTCCGCGGGCTGTTAACTTCTCGAGGTTTCTTTTTTTCACAATCGGCGACCTGGTCAAGCACTAAACAGACCGCATTCGTGAAAAGAGTTCTCGGGCCTTCGCCAACGCCCTTGACTTCCTTTCGCTCTGTTACAACCCAAGAATCGTCGCGATTTTTATTTTTGTCTGTAGAACTCTTTAAAGCAACCTCTTTCTTGTATGCCTTTTTAGACTTACTTTCATGTCTTCCTAACAACTCACAACTTTCAGCGTCGTCACTTCTCAAAGCCTTACCACCATTTCTACCAACAAATTCGTCGCATTCCTCATCGGCTTTTACGCCATTAACAGAAACTGTTGTATAGGAACTCTCACTGGGTTTTGCAGCAACGTGTTCGCTTTTCTTTCTTCCATCTGCAACATCTTTAACTGCGGCAGTTTTGTCAGCATTACCACTAACGTCTCCAGTTTTAAATGCATCCCTTTTCAATATTTTGATCACGACTAACTTCTCGTCTTTGCCTTGTGTAGCACTTTTCTCCCTCGCCTTATGTCCGCCGTTCGGTTCTTGGTCATCAGAATTTTCTTTTCTACCCTTTTTCTTCCGTCTGCGACGTTTCTTGGCAACATATTCAGCTGTATCCGTTATGTTCTCGGGAGAAATGCTCTTTTTAGTATTCACACGTTCACGTGCTACGGCCACTAAGAAATGAAAAAGTAGACGGCGGTTGCGTTAATTGTTAACGTGTAAACCGAGCACACAGTCTTAAAATAGCAAAACTTCTATTTGGTTAAAGTTAGATTGTACACAATCCCCTCTATTTTCAGAAAGGCGCAGGCACGGATGGAGATACAGAGAAACTCTATTATCCATAGAGCACCTAATGGAACATGTACCAAGTGTTAAAAAGGAGTTTCTCAGGCCTTTGGTACGTATCTATGTATGTATGATTAGTAGTAGCGGATGGCTTCGTTTTTCATCCCTGAAAGCTCCCTCTAAAGGATGGTTTTCACTAGCGACGGAGTAGGAGTCGTAACCGGAGTCGTTATAGCGCTTATGACCTAGTGAAAATAAAAAATCGGACTCGTCATAGGCGCGACGGAATCGGAGTCAGCAGAATCTGAACGTTTCCTTTTTTCTCCGACTCCGCTTACGACTCCGTCGCTTACGTTCCGCTTAATATGATCAAGTGAAAATCAGATTGTCGGAGTCGGAAGCAGGAGCGGAAGGATAAACCAATCACAATGCACGTTCCCACGCTTTGTGATTGGTTTACGAATTTAAATAAAAGTTGAAAGTTAAATCAGAAAGTCTAGTAACTGTTCCGCTTCTGCTTGTAACTCCGACGACCCAGTTTTCAGTTGATCGTAAACGACGGAGTCGTAATAGTGACGTAAGCGGAATCAGAAGAATCAGAACGCTGTTTTTACAAGATCGTAAAGTTTTACGCTTCTGATTACGACTCCGACTCCAACTCCTTCGCTAGTGAAAATCAGCCTTAAATTGCCCATAGTTGCAGATCTGGACTGTTTAAAATAACTGCAGCGAGAATATAATCAGAAACAAATAACCCAAAGCAAACAGAACACATTAAAACTCCAATATGCAATAGAGGGATATGTGTAGGCTTTCTCTCTCTTCTAACATCTGCAAGCAAACATGTGGAAGGCAAACCAGTTGGACACTTACATTACTACGACCAAAAAGTTGAACTCTGAACTAGTGACATAGTAAATCATAACAACAGGATAAGGATGTTTGTAGCCAATTCTCTTGCTTTATCATTTCTCAAACTTTGCACCAGTCATCTGAGTTTCTTCTCCACTTGGGCAGTATTAAGCTACTCTATCTCCATGTCATAAAAAATTATTTTAATAAGGTCCCGTCGCCCACTCCCTTAACACCCAGCCTGCTTTGAATGAGCTCCCACTTGCTTGGTTAAAAATGTTTATAAAAACATGTTCTTCCTAATTCTTTAGTTGTCGTCATTATCTAGTTTGTATCTTTTTTTGTATCTTTCGGCAAAAAACAAAAAGAAAGAAAGAATGAGTAACTAGCGTGTTACAACTGCCTCACTAACAAGTTCAAAAATTTAATATGCAATGCTCTTTTGGGTAAATATGATTCTTGGTGCTAAGGAAAAATAATAATTATTTTTTATTTTTTATCATAAATTATTAATGATTAATAATTTATGATAATTTACCCTGGCTCCTGAGGTGTATACTTACCCCTGGGAGAGCCAAAATGTTTTCCATGCACTTGATGACAGGTATACATGAGTATCAGAGGAACAACAAGGATCACAATACACTTTGCAATGGACAATGTACCAACAAAGAATTCAAGAGCTTGACTCATATGACCACTGAAAAGATATTCAAGAAAAAATTTTTAATTATGAAGATGTTCTTGCAAAATGAAATCAAAGAGTCTGACTGGAACAAATAGCAAGAAAATAACTTGTTGATAGAAAATTTCTATCTAAAGGTATTAAGTAGCTTGCTGGTGATGTTCCTGAATATTGATTGGTTAAATGCTAAACTACAGTAAGTTTTTTTCGCATTGAGGAAACATCAACTCAACTCATACCAGATGTGTAATACCGAAACAAGAGGTTATTAATTATTCATGCAGTACAATGAACTGAATATTGTCATTCTATACAGTAGACTCTCTCTTAACGGACACCTCTATAAGATGGACACCTCTGTAAAATGGACACCTAGAGTTGGCCCCTGCCATTGCTTATTCCCTTTATTTGACTTTTTATAAGACGGACACCTCTCTAAGACGGACACTTAGTGCCAGTCCTAAAGGTGTCCATCTTGGAGAGAGCTGACTGTATAACAATATCACTGACCACTCTGGCCTCTATAGTACTTTTTCCCACTGAACAAAATTGCATTTGTGCTTTTGATGTTTTCATGAAATAAAAACGAATGTCTCATGACACTATTTTAAACCTGCCTATGTTGTAAGTTGTAAGTTGTAAACACAACTTATATATTGTAATCACATTATTATGCAATATTAAAATATTTCAATCTACATCTCTAATACTGAAGAGGCCCCAATAGCTAAAGCAGGAAAAAATCTTCTCTTTCTTTCTGAGACGAACTGTTAAAAAATATATATACAGGGTTTCACTTAAAGCTGGGACATGGGTAGCAGCAACAGTGTGCTGTGAGCATAGTACCCGCCTTCAACCAAAATGGTAAATTTCCACTCTCAAACCAAACTTTCCAACTTTCCCGCCTACTCAACCTTGAGCTCCTTTCTACTTTAAAAAGTAATGATTACACTGAAGACAATGAGAACAGGCTAAGATCAAGGACAAGGCTGTACACTTAGGAAAATTCCCAAGGGGGTTACTCCGGATTTTGAGTGACAGGGATGATTGAAGGATTTGTGGGGGGTGGGGGGAGGGGTTGAAACGTTACTTTTCAATTTCAGGATTTTTTGGGGTAGGAAAATTTTGGCAAGTATTTTTTTCGGGTAGCTTGATTTAAGTAGGGATTTTTTTGGGATATTCAAAACTAATGTTTCTGGTTTTCGTGTTATATCATTTAATGCTATCTGCAAATTTTTAAGGCTCGGAAATTCGGCATGGGATTTTTTGGGGGCTAAATTTTGGTCTGCAGGGATTTTTTTGGCTTTTGATTTTCGCCCCTATTTGATCATCCCTGTCACTTGAAATCTGGAGTACCCCTCCCCCGCAACCCTTCCCCGGGGGAAAACTGAAGGGAGCCCACTCTGAACCACTGAAATCTAAAAAAAATGATTTTATAAAATCAAGATTTTCTAGTTGCCAGGAAGGGAAAAATTAGGTGCCAGGGGGCGCAGTGCACGAGCGCTGTTAGAGCACAGCCTTGAAAGACATATCTCTGTTATGGCTGAAAAAGGGTTTAAATCAATGCTACATTGAAAATGTTGAGAACATGTACTACTGCCTTGGGAAGGAAATCCATCCACATCTGGGCAATAAGTACTTAAAGATCTGGAACTCACAGTAAATTGCTAGCCAGGAGTTACTATTAACTGTTTTCCCAATAACATTTTAAAAACCTGGCATGACGAGATATTTTTCCATCAATGTGCTACGCCTTGTCACAGCTTTGCCCCTTGAGTTTCAAACAAGCTAAGTTTAATCAAAATGAAACCTTCAACATTCAGCATTATCAAAGAGGTTGAATACCCGGTACATCAAAGGCTCTGCAACATTGCACTGTTTGTTTACCATTTTTGCTTTAGTTTACATCCTAATTAGATGTCTTTTTCAATGTTTAGCACCAGCATTATAATCCCTTATCACTTGGCTTCTCTCTGGAAACCAAAAATTGTGAAAAAAAAACATTGAATGTGCTTCAGTTATTGCAACCATAACTAGGAGCCCTCCTGTCATGTCCAATGACCCATCTGTTTTATTTTTATTTTGTTTTGTTTCTTTTAACCTTTCCCTTGCTTCGACTTTTTTTTCAGTTGCGCACACATGTACTGAATAACAAGGTTACACAACAGGATTGGAGAGGAAAGAAGACGGCGAACCTTGTGTGACAAGTGTGACAATAATTTTGTTAAAATAACTTTCGCCAAAGTTCACTTTCCTTTAAACAGATTTTTTTTGTAAACAACAACGAAACGTCAAGGCTGTGCTCTAAGGAAAATTGTAGGGAGCTCAGTGCTCTGATCCTATAAAATCTAGGGTACCCAGTATATGATTTGTACGAAAAAGCTAAGATTTTCTAGTCGCCCGAGAACAAAAGTTACGCGCCAGGGGCTACTGGGCTCTGCTAGAGCACAGCCCCGAACATTAATGTTAAGTGAAGATCATGACTAAACATCCAATTATTAATAGCCCTGTCACATTTGTCACACAAAAGAGTTTTGCCATTCTCAGCTTCTTCCCGCCGTTCTGTTGCTTTAACTCACTAATGACTCTTTCGGGACCAGCACTAGGAGTCACTGGTCGCCTGAACAAGGTATGGTTTTCCGGATCTTGAGTCTTAGACAGGGTATACATACAATTTCACTATTTAGCATCGTGAACAGGATGTCCTTTTGGAATAAAAAAGTGTGAAAGTTGGCCATGAGCAGACTACATATTTGTGGTACCGACAGTTTTGTTTTTGGACATTGTACATCTATAAATGGGAAATCCATGATGTTAGGTTGAAAATCACTTTAAGTATGCAAAACAAAATGAGAGAGGGACATGATTTAAGGTCTCTTGTCCACAACAGGGTCAGGGTTTGAAGGCCTCCGACGAACACCGCAGTACCTAACTTCCCTTGGGTGCCCACCCCACCCCCTCCCCCCCGGGATGGATTTTGTATTGGAGCTGTAGAATCTTTGACTACGGTACTCATTTGAGATGCTTGTAACTGAAAATACTACATTGAAATTTATTTCTGAGCTTCGAAGGTGGCATGCTTTATACCAAACCTAGAGAGAACTATTCATTTTCTAATGAAACTACAAGCTTATTCATGTAGAAAGCGCAAATTACAGTGCGCCGAAAAAATAACGGTGAAAATTTTAACGCGCGCGTATGATGTACGCTTTGGAAAAGAACTCAATTGAGAGCTTACCAATTATCCTAGAAAGCTTAAAATGTCTCTAATGACCATGCAAATGATAACAAAAGATAGTTACATGGTTCAAACAGTGCAACAACGTAAGGTGCAGAACGCACAATGCGCAAACTTGGCTAAGTTCGAATTTGGAATGTGCACAGCTCGAGCTGAGAGAGAGAAGCCAGTAACGATGTCTGAAATTTAAGGGCTTAATTTTAATTGACAATATCATTAATGGTGGACTTACCAGCTTTGCGCTAATATTTTTCTACTTCCATAAGCTTTTACAAATCCAAACGCACCACCGCCAACTACCCAATGAACGTACTATGTTTGTAGCTTCAAGTCACAGGTAACCCAAGCTCAAAACAAAACGTGACTTAGAAGTTGTTGCGTTAGCGTTGCGTTACAACAGTACACTGAACGAAAAGTGTTCAATAAAATATTACGTGATGTTCTCGTTCACGCACCCAACCACCTCTTTACCTATTTTAGAGACCGATATCGAAATTACTCCTGAACACTGTCGGCCACACACATACACACAAAGCAACAATGAAACAACGATCTATGTTTCTCTTCGATTTCAGTAAAAAGACAATTGATTTCTGCAGGCGATTAAGTATTCACTAGGCGAGGCCGAGTCAAAGAAGCGGTTTGCTCGAGGATAAACTAAGTGAACTTATGATATTTGGTCAGAAATTTTGCCCAAAATAATCGCAGAGAAAAGACTGTGCCTCGTCCGTTTCAAGAAAGTTTTCGGATTACGGAACACTGTGACTATAATTCAGCTGGCTTAGGATTCACAATAAAACATACTGTAAACAACCCGGTTCCACGAGACTAAACAAACCTCCAAAAGATTGTCCTAATGATGTTACAGTGTAATATATAGTCGAATTTTCCATGCAAATAAATTGGCATAATACCTTTCAAAGATCCCGATCGGCCAGAAATCCATCGCTGCGGGAAACAGAAAAAAAATTATAGCTTGTAGTTGTGCCACCAGAGTGCTGGCTAAAAAAAGCTTCAGTTTCCACGTGTCAATGATCATCATGAACTTGACCCCAGACCATAAGTACACGAGCGCGCGTGAAAATCGCCACCCACACGCGAGTTTTTTCTCTTCCGTCCGCGTGTTTGCCTAAGCAAAGCAGTACTTGTATTTTTCGTAGTTTTTTTTTGGAATACAAAATGCAGAAATGATGTTTGCATGTTTTCCCCTCAGTAAGTAACTATGCAACATACGCTTAATTACTAAAAACAAATAAATGACATCAAACACCTGTAGTCAAGCAACAAATTTATTCCGTTTAGAACCAAAAAGTGCGAAAGCGGAGTCAGCTTTTTTTTCCTTTTTACTAATTGTTCTTTTTTTTTTAAATAAACCTTTAAGAAACTAAACATCTAATGTTATTGAAATGAGAAAAATTGTCTCTACGGGAAAACGAATCATACCTCACATTGTTATGTAACGCCAGCGTTAAAGGTGGCCCCCAGTAAAAACAATTTTAAAAGTGTATGACGATGACCCCAGACCATTTAGATAATAAATTAAATTTTAGAGGTAACATAAGTGGGAGAGCAACAAGAAGCTCGCAGCAATTGAATATTCCATTATTTAAAACTAAAACAGGGCAGAAATCCTTTTCTTATGGAATTGTTAATATGGAATAATTTACCATTTGAAATTAAGCTTAGCCAATGTTTACATAATTTTACGTGCAATTTAAGAAAGTATCTTTTAAAAGACTTTTAACGATGAGCTACCCTGTCACCAGTTTTAGCTACAGTCTCAGTCAAACTTGCTGGGACACTTTTGTGTCTCCCTGTCCACTCAATGTTAGTGCACAAGATTTGGTGACTGTTATGTCCCAGACCTAAAAGTTCCTCTATTTTGTATTATAAAGCTGCATACTCAAGTGGTCTCGGACTATTGCTGTGCTAAATATGAAGTTGTTTCTAGAGTCTTAGCACCTGCACGTTCTAGGTAGCACTTCAAGCGTACAACGCATAGACGTCAACGCATATCTCACCACTGTTATCTTGGGCACAATCATTCGGCAGCAAGGCTTCATTATACCAAATTTTGAATACCTGTCCATTAGACACGGATATTGGAGACGGAAGATGGTTAAACAGGAGTTCCCTCGAGTTAACATCCATACCCTTGATCTTATACCAGTATTTTGTACAAACGCCATCTCGGCTGTATTCTGCTAACGGGAGAACACTTTTGTTCTCGTATGTTATTACAGTAGACAGTGTTTGATTATCATAACTGGGGCGTGGGCAGCCCCAAAAGCTTGCTGGTCTGTCTGGTGCACACTTTAATGATCCTCTTCGGTGAACAAGTTTAAACGTGTGGATGAGTCCCTGTTTGGTGATGCGAAAACTTCCATGCGAGTCTTTAGCTTTGTAGCAGACTGATTCATTGTTAATCTTTTTCCAGTCTGAAAGGAAATGTAAAAAAAAAAAAAATAATAACAATAACAAGAAAAAATGAAAAAGGTACAATTTCGCAGTATGAATTTATTAACTTTTTTCTTTTCTGAATCGAATGGTAAATCAGAGGCTACACTCATTTTTTTCATCGCAATCGTTAATATCTAGGTTGAGATAGTTAACAGAAGACTCATTTAGTTACTTTGCAAAGAAAACGATAATTGGACAGTGGAACTGTCTCGTTTACACGACAAGTCGACAGTCCATCGAAAATTAAGTCAACTTAAAATCATAACTCAGATCGAAAATTTTAAGCTAAACGAAGGTGAAAGTAAAAAGAAACGTGTCACAAATCCACTCCAAAGTAAAAGGAAAACTCTTTCATCTATGCGCAAGCTCCCGAAAACGCTGCTTCCGTCTGGAAGGCCCTACGCTTGGTGCGCTTGTGACGGTTTTGTCGACTATGATAGGGCCAATATTACAGCGGATTCGGGCTCGAGGAATAATTGTTAATTATTATGTTGGAACTATTTTAAAGAGCGCCTAAATTAAAGATGTATCATAAGACTTAATAGAACTCGAAAAAATGTGTTGAATAGAAATGCTTTTATATCAGGTTATTCAGTGCTATCAGCTGAGGGTTTTCACTTCCTTATTTTACCTGTGCAGTTAACGCCGTTTCCAGTGTAGCATTTAGTGTTGTTACAGAAAGCATTGGAGTGACAGTGATGTTTTCCTGTCTCACACTCGTTTATATCTGCAAAATAGTAATACAAGAGCTGTCCTTAAACGAAAATGAAATTGATAGTAGTCATATGAAAAAATAATCCTACTCCACAAGCGGCCTATCACATTTTATCATGTTGGAACTATTTTAAAGAGCTCCTAAAGATGTAACATACGACTTAATAGAACTCGAAAAAATTTGTTGAATAGAAATACAAATGCTTTTATATCAGGTTATGGCAGTGCTATCAGCTGAGGGTTTTCACTTCGTTATTTTACCTGTGCAGTTAACGGCGCCGTTTCCGGTGTATCCTGGTTTGCATGTACAAATGTAAGAGCCTTTAGTGTTGTTACAGAAAGCATTGGAGTCGCAGTGATGCTTTCCTGTCTCACACTCATTTATATCTGCAAAATAGTAAATAGAACGCTTTGATTTATGTAGAAGAGGATAATTTTTTATTGAGTGATTCCTTCAATCGTCTGTCACGGAAATCTTTCGTAGAAAATCATTTACCTGCATTTTGTTGCCGGATTACCATTTTCTTTGATTGAAAGCCACAACAAGGGAAGTGGCTAAGCCAGACGACACACCCTTTCATGGGAAAACTGATGGTTGGTTCGTTATTTCCTTCCCTACCGATCCACAAAAAGGAAATGTGTTTCCTCTGTATACCTCCTTTATTAATCCCTGGATGAACGTAAAGGAATCAGCCGGTTTCCTCCCTTTCGAGTTCGCCCCGTTCGAATTCGACCCCTGGATTTCGAGTGATCCATAAAATGAAAACGCACAAATAATTACCTATCTTTTTCGCTGCATTCGAGTTCGAGTTCGTCTCTCCGCGATTTCAAGCTCGCACCCCGACTTCTATCGAGTTCTCAGCATCGTTTAATTTACCATGAAACCGCACGCAGCAAAATTACTTCGATAGATCTCAGCCTGCATGAGTGCTTAGCGTGGTTGACGGTCGATTCGTACTTGACTGAAATTTACTCTTTTTAGGCCAAGAAAAACACATAATTTTAGGCTAGCAAGAGACTAATTTAAATTAAAGTGTCAAGAAATAGGCTTTAACGGCCTAACTATGCGCAGCATTTCTGGTGCAATGCAGGCTTAATAGCCACATGAAAACATTAATACTATCGTCTTATTTTCACACGCACTTGTTTCCCGGGGTTGGAGGGGCAAATCGCATATGAAAGTGGTGGGGATGCTCGTCGTCTCGTTTAGGGGTGTAAATTTCGGATTTTGGTCTCACTTATGGTGTTCTGGGCAAAACGCCATGATAGTTAGCCGTGAAGGTCTCGTTTAGGCAGTTGCACGCCAAACAATATAAAAATATATCAAGAGACTATAAACGGGACAGAGAGGGCATCCCCCATATACACCCTATTCCACAGGTAATTCGTCTCGAGTTATTTTTAACACCACAGATCTCAAGGGCGAGTAGACAACAGCTAATCACATAACGCGAATGTGTTCCGCGTGGATGACCCACGCTGAGAGCCACGCGTCCTTCACGAAATGACGCAGAACAAAATGGGGGAAGACGCGGAGAGCGATTTTGCTATTCCTTTTGTCGACGAAAACGACTACAGCGACATTTCTGCGAAAGCTGTGTCAGCGAAACCGAAATTAAAAAAGAATCGCCCTTCCTCTCTTGTATAGAGCTAACAGTAGAGCAGGGAAATCCTTAACACACTGAATATTCTCTCAGGATCAGTTATAATTTACAGTTTGAAGAGAGCAATTTCTGGTTTGATGTTTATTTTTTTCAGTCTTTATAGCGATTATTCCTACGCACTTACTTTGCCAATTGTAGGCGAACCCTCCTAAAGCCGAATTTCAAGGGACCATATTCAAGCTCAGAAAGAGAAATAAAATTTCGTCGTTGCTTATTTACGTCCTCCATAAAACGCGAAATTAGGCATTTTCAGGTCGTAGTCGCGTGCAAAAACGGAAAAGAAATGAACAAAAAAGTGTGTTGCACGTGCGAAGTTGTTGTTTTGCTAATTAAACCTATTGTTTTTTTGACGTTCTAGTTATCGTCCGCGTCGTTGGATCTTAAACTCCCTAAATTGTACAAACGACCGGTTTCAATAGACCGGCGAAATTTCTCATTTTATTAAAGCACTGAGGTTACGACAACTTAGAGTTAAACTGATTTCACGGGTTGTCAAAGAGTCCAGCGATTCCTTTTTCCCAGGTGAGCCTGACCGACTCATTTCGCTTCAATATTCAGGAATGCTCTCGATCTTTTTACGCTTTCATCGCCTCTCGCCCGACATGTTTTGCACGGCGTTTGGTCATGCGAAACCTCCACGAAACATCCACGCCTCACGCGAGGTAACTTTATCCCGATTCTAAAAATAACTCGAGACGAATTACCTATGGAATAGGGTGTATATGGGGGATGCCCTCTCTGTCCCCTTTATAGTCTCTTGAATATATATATCGTCTGTGTTTTAACATGGTCTCTTTTAGGGGTCAAAAAAAGCTTGGGCCACGCCCAGGTCGGTCTCCTTTAGGGGTTTAATTCAAAATTTCCGACGAGCATCCACACCCCTTTCATATGCGGAGTCCCCCCGGGCTTGTTTCATTTTTAGACCTTCAAACCCATCAGGTCTATACAAACTGTGGTGTTTTGTATATCCCCACCCTTAGGTAACTCTCCGTTGATTACACCTGTTTTGACTACTTTCTTCAGGCGCTGTTAGGCTAAATTACGACACTGAAGCGAAATGGCCTTGAAACAGCGACATAGGGACAGCAGAAATGGAGACAAACGACACAAAGATGGGTTGAAACTGCGACAGCTACAGAGAGTAAAAGCACAAATACAATGGTGAAATCCTGACAGTGACATGGCCTCCTCCTCCTCGATACGAGAAACGACAGGTTTTGAAATTCAGACTCTGGACATACGTAACCCCCCTTAGAGGGCCTATTTCTTAGGATGATTAAACTCTTAGGTAACACAACAATATATGGGAATGTTATGGGTACTCAAAGAAAATATTTTGAAGGGAGATAGAAGATAGTAGAAGTTGTATTATTTGTATACAGTAAATGGCGTGAAACTCTGCATTTGGAGCCCAGAGATTATAGTCCCCGAGAAGCAAACAGGATCGTCAGGATCGAGGTTTCTGTAGTAATATTCTTTTGCTAAATGATAAAATTTTTTGATGGTTTTCAAGAACAACGGCCCTAACAAAACAAAGACAAGCATGGTGACTCCATCTTCTTATTGCATTTTTTCAATGTCCTATACATGGCTATCAATTGTGCCAAGTTTGCGCATTGTCACTTTGTTACCTTTATGACTAACTATTTTAAAACAATTTACCGTTCTAGTTAGAATCTAGCTGTTTCCTCGTCGAACGATCGACCAGTGTTTCGCCGAAAAGCCTTAAGCAAAAATAATTATCTAATTAATGGATGCAAATTCTCTGTATAAAAAGGACCGTTATGTGTTCAGTAATTGTTGGGTTGATCCAAGTGTTAGGTATCACTTACCTTAATTTGAGCGTCACATAATATTTGGCCAAATCCAATGCAATGTATTTTCCACATTCCGCGAGGCTAATGGTAAACGCCAAAGTCTCACACCCTTACATACTTTTCTTATATCACACGGGATGAAAATTAATCCCTGAGAACTATATATCAACTGCATTTGCCAGAGAAAACCAGTCAGCAGATTATAACTCTTTCCTGGCTCCTAAAAAAATTTTGCCACGTATAAAGTATAGAAAGTTGTGTGATTTCGTTTTCAGCCGGGTATGTCTTTCACTCTTCTCCTAGACTGTCTATCGCACTTAAGGAAAAAAAAAACAGTTTCGACCTACCCATTTCGCATTTTTCTCCTCTCCACTGCGGACTGCATGAACAAGCAAACGCATCTTTCCCTTCGTCGAACAAACAAGAACGTCCGTTAAGGCATCCAGCCATTAGGCAGCCCTGAGGAAAATGTTCATATGTTACTTCGGTAAGCTAAAATTATATCTATCGTTTTCCATCGACTTCCTACAGCTTTTTTATACCAGAAAGGCGATGTTTTAGCCAGTCTCTCTCGGGCAGGGGAGGGCGACTTACTAGCTACCGATTCTTGCAGGTATATATAGCTAGACTGATTCCTCAACATTTTTAACGGCACAAAGCAAATCTAATGTTGAACATAAAAATTTCACTGATAAATTGCTGGCTCTGCGTTCCCCTTTTTTAACATTTACAGTTGTTTGCACTCTATACTTCTCTTAACTTCATTTTCAAAACATGTAAGCCTCTTGTTAGGGACGAAAACATTGCCTTTGATAATGATTTTGCGGAACTGAAAAATTTGGGAAAGGGAAAACATGGCTCGCTCCCATACGAAACATGACTGAAATGCGTGCGCTTTTTTACAACAACTCAACTTTACTGTTTTACCAAATTTCTATTTTTTTACTTAGCTTCGTTTTAACAGTTGTTGCATTAGCCTGGGTGCACGAGTCTATTTCTTCTTGCACGCGGAAAATAGGCTCGTCTGCACACGCACGCCCTTGTTGTCTAAGCAATGAAAATTCAGAAATTTTCTTACCTTAAGAAACATTGAAAACGTTGTGTCTGGATTATCAGTGAGCCTGGTGTCATCGTCTGTTGTAGAGAACTCATGCTTGTTCAGTTCACAATTGCCCGAGGACTCTTTGAAGTTAGAAGAGGTACACCAAGAATATCTCAAACATGCTTGACTGCACGACATTTCATCCGTAGAATCAATTTTCTTGACAACATAGCCATGTAAACGCTTATTCTCTTGCGTTTTGATGTAGGCAGATCTAGAGTCTTCTTCGGCTGCTAAAACTGCGCCAACGACGAAGCAGAAAATGAGTGAGGAAATCATGTTACTTATCTCTGCAATATTACAGCCTTGTTTTCGTGAATAGGTTGTGTCTGCGTAAAGGAAGTTCTCGGGTAAAATTTTATAGCAAGTTAATTAACACTTCGAGCTCGATTGACGCCTGTCCTTTCAGTGATTGACTTGACTTGCCAATGTAGAGGATAGGAAAATTTTAAAAAGCTCGTTGCCGTTTTGGCGAACAATACTGAAAGCGCCTATTTCTCTATTGTTGAGTGGTGAATATATATACTTTGCTGTTGAAAAGAAGTGCAGCTTTTCTCTACCGTAGCACTGCGACTCTGAACAGGGCATTCTGATAAAAAGGCTTTCATAATCGTTGCATATAAAAAGTTAACCTCTAAAAATTGCAAAATGTTAATTACCCATGCCAACGGCTATTACAAACACGCATTTTAAATTAAGTTACCAGCCAGTGTAGAAGTAGCGTAGGAAAGAGGATGATGATGCCACGTAAATTTACGTTTGCTTAAGTTTAGCCCTCATTTACTATATAGTTAAAATTTAATGATTTAATTAAAGTTCGTAACTGAGGTGTCTGCCCAAGCAGGAAATTCAAAGAAAGGTCGAAAGTATGGACAGACAATGGGGTATTTCAGCTCTGATCATGCAGTAGTGTTATTTGTTTTATAAAGGAGGACAGAAAACGCAATTGCTTGAAATATCAACTTTGCCTGTTTTTCGTATCAGTTAACGTAAAACAAGGCGCACACCCACTCTATCAATGAATTAATTTCTTCGAAATTGAATCGTTTTCAGAAATGCAACTTTGAATGTGATACCAGTTGTAACTAACATATAATTTTATTTTCATGTATTTTATTTTATTAACGAATATGAGGCCGCTTAGACTGATTGTAACGCCTCAGGTAAGAAAAACAAGTGAATGGTCATTCTTTGCTAGTTTGAAAATATCTTATTAAGAGAAACAAGAATTTGCCTCCAATTCGACGAATGATTTATATATACTTCGGAAACGTACCTGCATGATGTTATTCCGGCCCTATTAAAAATCGTTTTATTTTTCGGAAAAGAACTGAACCCGCTTAAGTTTTCCATCATACGTAAGTTGACTGTGCGGTAATTTTTTGTAATCGAATGGACTTCTTTCCTTTTCTTAAAATTGACTATCCGAAAACACTTTTTAGAAAGACGATGAGTGGGTGTCCTATGTTTAAGTGAGCGGAATCTTTCCAGCTGGAGAAAACTTATAACAAATGAAACAAGTAATCCGAATAAGTCCTTTCAATTTTATCTCTAAATTTGTTTACTATTTTTCGTAAGGAATTATTCTTCGCTCATGTTATTCAATAAAAAATAAGAAGGCAAATAGTTTTGTTTGTTATTGATCTCAGCACAAGCGTTCAATTTTATTTCATCCATTGACTGGCTTTGGCCGCTTTGCTGATTTGGAGGGAAAGCAGAAAAGAACTGAAGGAAAAACTGTATGCATATATGCGGAAGCATAGTGTTTATGTTTATAAAACATGTGCACTGTGTCGCTTTTACTCCTGACGACTTTTTTCTCGTTAAATGAGAGACGAAAAGACATCAATCTTACCCTCTGTGCTTCAAGCGAACACCAACGAATTTTAGTTTGGTTAGTTTGAAATGTATTAACTAGAATTAACTAGAGCAAATATATCTTTTTTTATCTCATTCAATTTTTCATATTTGTTGAATTTTGTTGCCTATTTTCATACGGGTAAATTTGGGAAAGAAGTAATAGAGGCGAGCTTTCGACATTCTTAGCCCCCACACTGAGTACTCGTTTTGCCAAGATATTATTAAAAACTCATTAATGGAATGTTCCCTATAGCTATTACCCAAGGAGATCGTGGTAACCGTTTTCTGTTTGTGAGAAAATTTTCACCACCAGCGATTATAATGCCATATAAACTCACGCAGCAAACAAGTATTAAACTGAAAGTCAATAGACTTCAGTTCAATTAAACATTTTGGCAAAACTTCAGACAGCTGAAAACAAGGGAGGTCTTATTTTATAAGATATAGCTAATTAAAAACCGGGCTACTGGCCCGCTATTATAGTAAAAGACAGATATCAACTTTTGCTATAAAGAAAAATTATGTAACTATGAAATAATAGATCAGAATCTTTAGAGGTTTCTCTTTCGGTAACTTAAATTTTTCTATCTATCGGATATTTTGCAATCGATCGATCAGATCCTGAAAAACACTGTTTCCTACTAATTTAAAAGTTTAATACGAAAATTCAGAAAATTTATTCAAACAAAAGCAAACATAAAACATCGTGAGGCCAATTGAGTGGAAGATACAGCTGGCCCGTCGATCAATTTTTCACGTTTACTGAATTGTGTTTCGTATTTTCATGAGGCGAGTTCAGGACATTTCATGTCTCCTCCTCCAACCCCTAACCACCAAGTAGACCTTTTGTTAAGATTTCCAAAGAGTACTGAGCCTTTCTTTTAAGTTAGAGTAACGTTCTGGGCAAGCACTTTAGCCATTACCCAAGATCATGGCAAACATTTTCTGTTTGTAAGAATACCTGACAAATTAACCAGCTGCGAGTGCATTTGTATCTAAAATCCGTCAAGCAATGATTATTAAATTCAACTGAAAGTCAACAGAGAGGATAACCCGTTGTGTCACGTTGCCATGGTAGCAAAATTTCTGGATCTCAACACAACCGTGTTCCTGCAAATATGGTAGGAAAAAACGAAAAAAAAGCGGTAACAGAACAGGACGCAGGAACAACACATCAACACAATGACCAGACAAGCCATTGTGGGGCACATGTGCTTACAGAGAGCACCAGAGAATGGGGTATTTCAGCTCTGATCATGCAGTAGTGTTATTTATTTTATAAAGGAGGACAGCAAACGCAATTGCTTGAAATGTCTGTTTTTCGTATCAGTTAAAGTAAAACAAGGCGCACGCCCGTTCTATCAATGAATTAATTCCTTCGAAATTGAATCGTTTTCGATATCGGATCCATTTCAGTATTCCCGCAGGTGTAACGAGCAGTACACACCACGTAGATAGGAAAATTCTGGTGGCTCATGATAGAAATTTTATCCACAAAAGTCTAAAAGATTTTTTTTAGTCTGAAGAACTAAAGAAGATGTATTAACCGAGCGATAGCGCTAGCAAGGTCAATACATCAAGGCCTCGGGGTTCTAAATAAAAAATTCACTCCGTATTACACAATGTCATGCAGAAATACAACTTTGAATGTGATACCAGTAGTAACTAACATATAATTTTATTTTCATGTATTTTATTTTATTAACGAATATGAGGCCGCTTAGACTGATTGTAACGCCTCAGTTAAGAAAAACAAGTGAATGGTCATTCTTTGCTAGTTTGAAAATATCTTATTAAGAGAAACAAGAATTTGCCTCCAATTCGACGAATGATTTATATACTTCGGAAACGTACCTGCATGATGTTATTCCGGCCCTATTAAAAATCGTTTTATTTTTCGGAAAAGAACTGAACCCGCTTAAGTTTTCCATCATACGTAAGTTGACTGTGCGGTAGTTTTTGTAATCGAATGGACTTCTTTCCTTTTCTTACTTTAGTAAATTTGACTATCCGAAAACACTTTTTAGAAAGACGATGAGTGGGTGTCCTATGTTTAAGTGAGCGGAATCGCTCCAGCTGGAGAAAACTTATAACAAATGAAACAAGTAATCCGAATAAGTCCTTTCAATTTTATCTCTAAATTTGTTTACTATTTTTCGTAAGGAATTATTCTTCGCTCATGTTATTTCTTATACCAAACTCAATAAAAAATAAGAAGGCAAATAGTATTGTTTGTTATTGATCTCAGCACAAGCGTTCAATTTTATTTCATCCATTGACTGGCTTTGGCCGCTTTGCTGATTTGGAGGGAAAGCAGAAAAGAACTGAAGGAAAAACTGTATGCACATATGCAGAAGCATAGTGTTTATGTTTATAAAACATGTGCACTGTGTCGCTTTTACTCCTGTCGACTTTTTTCTCGTTAAATGAGAGACGAAGAGACATCAATCTTACCCTCTGTGCTTCAAGCGAACACCAACGAATTTTAGTTTGGTTAGTTTGAAATGTATTAACTAGAATTAACTAGAGCAAATATATCTTTTTTTTGTTGTTATCACATTCAATTTTTCATATTTGTTGAATTTTGTTGCCTATTTTCATACTGGTAAGTTTGGGAAAGAAGTAATATAAGCGAGCTTTCGACATTTTAGCCCCCACACTGAGTACTCATTTTGACAAGATATTATTAAAAACTCATTAATCCAAAATGTTCCCTATAGCTATTACTCAAGGAGATGCTGACTATCAATTTTTTGTTCCTTTCCCGTGCTCATGATGGAAATAAGGGAACTGAAAAACTCAAAAAGTCAGCAAAGGACTAAGCGTGTGGAAAATTTACACAAACATTCACAAGCCGCAATTCTTCCAACCGATGTTTTTAAACCCCAAATTTCTGCACAAGAAAGGCGCCTCTTCTTGTGCTGTTAAACATTCCTGTACCAGCTCAAAGAAGAAGGTTTTAAAAGCTTTTTTTGATATCACGTTCTTTTGTAAACAAGCCTGTAAACTGCCAATTGTGCATTAAAGAAAAAGCAAAAACGTAATTTTGCAGGAAGTTTTTAAAATACTATGGACCCGTGTGCGTACTTGTCAAATGCTAAAGCTACGCGCCCCTGTTACATACTTCGTTTTGCTTTTCAGTTCCTTTTAAAATCAATCTGTCGTCAGAGAAGACTAGAAGATGAAACTGCTATTTATTGTGGTTCTTAGTCTCCTGGCTGTGGGTTATGCCAGGGACCAGGAAGCAGAGCCCGAAAAAAGACAATTTTCGGAAAAATATCTGTTCGGAAGACGATTTGAGATCTAGAATTTTAGAAACATTTGTTGTAAAATATCTTGCTTGCCTGCCTCTCCTAGGATTTTCGGACATCTAAAAAATTGTATAATTGCCTATTGTTAACGGATTTTTACCCTAAAAAGGTCACCTAGAATTTTCGGGAGCGTTTTTTCTGGCTAAAATTTTCGAAAAGGTAAGTTTTGATCCCTATAATTTTCGGATCACTTAACTTTCAGCTAGGAAATCCAAACAGACGAAAAATTTTTAGGGGATAAAAATATGCCTATATCTACCGTTTAAATACTAAAATACGTTTAACAATTCTATGTTTAAGTGGTTTTGAACTATATTCTCGTTGGGTGCCCCTGAGTTATCAAAGTCAAATTTCCGTCCTTTCTCGTCTCTCTAGTTTTCATTCGTCAAAAACAAAGTAATGAAGAAGGGCGAATTACCATAGGTGACCATGAGAACTCAATTAAAAAAGATTATGATAAATATTTATTGGCAGGCGCTAGGGGTCTGGCAGGTGATATTGTTTTCTTTTGTTTTCTTGTTTTTAATTGTTTTTTTGTTTTCATAATATAGCCACCGAAATCATACAGTGAAAGGCAAACATCTATGCCACTCAGTGCTTTTAAGTTTTAATGCGTGACCCAATTACGTTTATATTAAGTATTTATCAAATACTTAGAGATACGGCATTGTAGCTGTGTTTTTCAACAATTTCAAGTCAATGCAAATCACCGTGGAAACCAACGTACCCTTAAGATACTAAACAAATACTTAAACTAGGAGGCACGATTTGTAGATCATTCCTTCCTCAAACAATACTTACATCAATCAAACTACACGCAAGGTTGCAGTAATTCCATAATAGTTATTCTTCAAAAGGCATTGGGTCGATTCTCGTATATCTTGCATGGAAGTTGCAACAATAATCATTGTCAAAACTAGATATACAAAAGACACTGTAGTTTTGAAAGGTGAGAAAAGGGAGCTTTAGCACCGACCACGGCGACGGAGGCGGAAACGTCACTTTAAAAATCAATTCGCGTTTTTCAAACTTTTCCGCGTTTATTCCAGTTCGTCTGAAATGTTAAAGTGGGCGAATTTCCCGGGAGTTGATTTCTTGGGGACCACACTAAAATTTAGAAAGAGAAAGAAAAATTCGTCGTCGCTTGTTTACGTCCTCCATAAAACGTGAAATTCTGCATTTTCACGTCGAAGTCGTGTAGAAACGGCAGAGAAACGTACAAGAAAAGTGATGCACGTGCAAATTTGTTGTTTTGCTTAATAAGGCTATTGCTTTTTGGACGTTCCCGTTGCCGTCGCCGTCGCTGTTGCTAAAGCTTCCTAATTCACCATGGGCTCCTGCAAATATATAGATTTAGCCGAAGCTAAAGGCGAAGCTCCAATTACTATGAAAAAACATGAGACATATCCAAGGTAGAAATAATGCTAACGCCCGGGGGTCAGCCCGGGCTGGGGGGGGAGGAGGGTGGGTGCAGCTGGAATTGACTGATGCAAAATGACATTTAACACCAGGAATCAAGCAACAAATTTACTCCGTTTAGAACCAAGAACTCTAATTATCATTCGTTGCAAATGTTTCTACCTTTTCAACTAAAACAGGGCAGAGATCCCTTTTTCATTTAAAGAATTGTTAATGTTAGCCAAAGTTTAAATAATTTTAAGCGCAATTTAAGAAAGTATCTTTTAAAAGACTTTTTACGATGAGCTGCACTGTCACCAGTTTTAGCTTGTTTTTAATGCACGGTTTTTTAACTCACTTTTACTTGTTAATTATTATTACAAATTGTCACTGAGATGTCAAGAAAGTATTATATTAATCTATAATCTATCATTAAATTTCGCCTTGTAATATGAATGCTTTACAAAACTCATTGGTGATGAGAATTAAGGACATGATCACATATACAGTGTAGATAAATCGAATCGATACTTCAAAAGAATTAATCAAATTCTTCCTACTACCTCTATAGAAAACGTATAGGGAATATGAATTTTGATACTGCTCGGTTTAAACTTAGACGCTTTTATTAAGATTGGGTACACTATCTCGTAGACTACGAGTAGTCCCCATTTTTCCTCAGGGATAGTAGAGCGAGCGAAACGCGACCGCGCGTGAAAATCACCCCACGCGAGAAAAGGCAACACGCGTGAGGTGATTTTCACGCGCGCTCGCGTTTCGCTCGCTCTAATATCCCTGAGGAAAAATGGGGACTACTCGTAGTCTAACCATCTCTAGAGGCTTAAACGTTTCACAAATAATTCTTCTTGCATTATCTAAGTCACTTTTCGCTGTCTACAGACTAAGAGGGATTAACAGTTTGCTTACTAGAACTCTGCTTCACCCCATGTATGGAAATTCAAGACAGTCTTGAATTCTGGAGGGATTCCAGGAGGTGGTTTTCGAATTCTTTGCCAGATGACTTTGATTCTGGACTCCAATCGTTAGTGGGATTCCGGATTCTTTGAGCTGTATTCCAGATTCCATAGCTCAGGATTCCGGATTCCAGAGGCAAAGATTTCCCGGACTCCGGAATCCAGATTTCCTTAAATGGAGTGATCCACTGGTAGTCACTTGGTCCAACCTCGTTCCCAGGGAAGGGAAAAAGCCCTGGGAACGAGGTTGCACTGTTCAGTCGATGAGATCGAGTGTCTACACGAATTCCGAGTTTGTATCAATATTGTGCGGGGATAAGCGTATTTTGCTCCTGACTTTTCCTAGGATGTCAGACGCAACCTCGCCCCCAGGGCGCTTTTCTCTGGCTTTGGAGGTGGGGCCACATACTCGCACCATACTCTTGCAGACTGCTTTTAATCACTACAATGGTGGAGTGACTACATCGTGAAAAAACCGGTCAATCTATTCTCATTATTACTATTGTAGCTACCATTGCAAACAACCAACCTTTTCTTATGGGGATGTGGTACACCATTGGTCTAGTCCTTTGCAATGAGCCATCTGGGTAACTAAGCCGATATACATCCTTACCTTCAGTTACAGACCTAAAAGTTCCTCTATAATGTATTGTAAAGCTATATACCCAAGTGGTCTCTGACTACTGACAAATGATGATTGCTGTGCTAAAAATAAAGTTGTTTCTAGAGTCTTAGCACCTGCACGTTCTTGGTAGCAGTTCAATCGTACAACGCATAAACGTCAATGCATATCTTACCACTATTATCCTTGTAACAATTGTGTTTATTCAGCAAGGCTTCAGTATACCAAATTTTGAATACCTGTCCACTGGACACGGATATTGGAGACGGAAGATGGTTAAACAGGAGTTCCGTCGAGTTAACATCTATACCCTTGATCTTATACGAGTATTTTTCACAGTGGCCATGATCTCTGTATTCTGCTAGAGGGAGAACACTTTTGTTCGCGTTTGTTATTACAGTAGATAGTGTTTGAACACCATAATTGCGGTGTGGGCAGCCCCAAAAGGTTGCTGGTATGTGTTGTGCACACTTTAATGATCCTCTTCGGTGAACAAGTTTAAACGCGTGGATGAGTCCCTGTTTGGTGATGCGAAAACTTCCATGCGAGTCTTTAGCTTTGTAGCAGACTGATTCATTGTTAATCTTTTTCCAGTCTGAAAGGAAATGTAAAAAAAAAAAAAAATGAAAAAGGTACAATTTTGTAGCATGAATTTATTATTTTCTTTTTTAAATCGCATGGTAAATCAGTCATGTTGCCGACAAGGTGCGATTCATACATTTCATATACAGCTATTTCGAGAAAGGTTGTCGCAAAAACTGTGCACGCGACAATCGGGAAAGGTAATAAGGGATATGATCAATGACTTGTTCCTGACACTGTAGCTGTCGAACCTACTTTTGTTGCTTTCCACTAGCACTTTCAAACATACGTCCATGGCCTCTCGTGCCATTCTTTGAAATTTCTTTTAAAAACAGTGAACTAAACACCACCCACAATACCTTTCGGGATTGTCGCGTGCACTTTTTCCGAACAGCTGTACACATATACTTGCCCGGTAAAATCTTCAGTATTAAATTATAATTAAGAACGCTATAATTTAAAATAATAACAATAACGATGAAGTATAAGACTTTACGTAAACCAATGGCGGAAGAGGTCAAAAGGTTAGCAGTGCGCACGCTTGAATAAGTATCATCTTGACGAGAAAAAGGCCGTTATCATTCTACCACGAGTCTGTTTTAACGAGAATGTCAGTGACGGAAATAAATTAACAACGGTTAGGAGTTCTGACGTGATACAACTCGCTTTGACTCTGAAGGTGATTACCGCACAGGTTGTCGAAACGTCAGTCACTGTCAACAACAGTCCTAAAAAGAAATGAACTGGACCGTTGCTTTCAGACTTGAAAACATGTACAGCTATGTACCTTCTAAATTACCTTTGCATCCATAAAGCTCTACTCTCATTGAAATTTTGGCATGCCAATCAGTTGGTAGAAAACGGATGTAACGCGCCTTGAATGGCGTACTCAAGCTATGAAGAACTACGGTATCACGATCATCATTCCCTGTAAAGATCTAACCGGAGGAAATAAACAGATTATCAGGAGTACATATTATTCACTCTACAACGCACACTTGTCTCGACTCAGGACTTAACCCTGAGTTAGTACTGACTCGTGGTGTGTGTGTATTTGAGGGGAGGGTTACAATCGAAAACGGACTATACAGGGATGCTTTGCTTGCCGGCTAAAGGTATTTTAAAAGTAAAGGGATCTCACGAGTTGAAGGATAGGAAAATGGTAAGAATAATTCTAACGTGGGTATTTTCAAGAGTCTTATGAAGTATCCTGTGAGACCCTCAACGGATGATGTACTCTTGAATAATTTCAGGAAGTTTCTCAACGAGAAAAGCGAATGAAAGACGCTCGGTAGGTAAAGGGGAGGGTAGGGAAGGATTAGGGTTTTGAGCACATGGTTACCGTATTTATTCGATTAACCGCCCTGGGCGCTTATTAAATTTTTGGACCTTGAGAGTGGGCGCTTATTCAAGGTGGGCACTTATTCGAGGCTGGGCACTTATTAAATTTTCAACATTTTCAGCAAGAGCAGTATGTTTATTTTGCAACAAAACAATAAATGGCAATAACAAAACGCGCAGGTTTAACAAAGAAAGGTTTCCAAAAAAATACTTTGAAGAAAACTCCATCTTCGGGGAAGTCTCTTATCAGTACTTATTCAGTTTTGGGCGGGCTGGGGTGGGGGTGGGCGCTTATTTGAGTTTGAGTGGGAGTGAGAGAGAGGTGGGGTGGGGTGGGCGCTTATTAACTTTTTCTGCTTTTAGGATGGGCGCTTATTAAACGTGGGCGCTAATTCAAGGTTGGCCGCTTATTCGAATAAATACGGTAAGTGGCAGAGCATATGATCCTCCGGAGCACTGAGCATCTCCACTCAGGTCTCTTTGTTAGGTTTATATATATATTTATTTATTTATTTATTTATTTTCTCATGCCTTATATGTAGTTTGTCCTTGTTCCCTGTAGTGCTGGAAATTCAAAGTCTCGTTACTGTACTGCAACATGTATTCCGTAACCCATTCATCCTCGTCATGTCTGCCTTGCGTTGCCACTGCTGTTACGGTAGCGTACAGGCCTCCAAGATCAATTTGAAGCCATGGATTTCCATCGGTTGTTTTAGCTGACCAGGCTCCCCCTTTCCCTTCGTCAGCCGTATAGTAAAGTCTGCCTTGGTTTGCTTTGTGATTGAGACTCAGCTCTGAAGAGGCACTGATTTGATCATCGCTAATACCATTGTTTTCCATTCCCAGATCATCTGCACATTCTAAATGTATCAATTTAAAATGCGTATTCAGTAAATTTTGGATTGGATTTGGATTTCGGGTACAGGATTCTGGATTCTTGTCAGTGGAATTTGGATTCGGGATTCCAATCGTTAGTGGGATTCCAGGTTCGTTGAGCCCTAATTCCGGATTCCAAAGTCCAGGATTCCACTAGCAAAACATTTACCGGAATCCGTAATACAAATTTCCTTACATGGGGCGATGAAATATGATTTTACTGGGCGATAACGTTAACAATTTGTGGGCTGATGGAGCAAGTTCACTTAAAATTGAAGGCAAGGCTGGTTGGACAGCTAAGGGTTGGTAATTTACATTAATTTATTTGCCTAATATTTCGACTAGACAAAACTAGTCTTCATCAGGGGCTAGAAAAGCTAAAATAAAATAGTAGCAACGCACTACATTGTAAAGCTCTATACTATCTAATCCATTTTGTGGTTCCCACTCCCACCTAAGGGTTACTTCTTTCTTTTTAGGGTTGGTGTGTTCCACGAGAGTTACTTATGACCCTATTCAGGAGGAAACAATTGAAAGATAACATATTTTTAAGGCCTAAAACAAGGCAAGCATTGACTGTATTTGTTTTACTTTGCGTTTTTTGTTTTGGACATGAATTGGGAAGGGCGTTATTATCACAACACTCCATCCTTCCTCAAGCAGCAGTTGGTCAGTGTTTTGATAACCGGAATGAAAATGCAAATTTTACCTTTGCACCCATAAATCTCCACCCTCATGGATATGTGATGGTGCCAGGCTACTGGTCGAAAACGGATGTAGCGTACCCTCATGGCATGACTGAGTTTGTGGTAGACCACAGTGTTCCGGTCTGTGTTTCCAACAAACTCCTAACAAAATTTTAAAAAAAGAAGACAAACTTGCTGAAAAACATCTTGTAATGAATACGACACTTATCAATAAAAATTACTGAATACAAAAAGAGCGTAGAGACGTGGTGCTGGACGATTAACAAACAAACTTTAAGACGGTGAGGCTAATACCTTTACCCTTTAATATACCATTTTTGACAGAAATGGTACCCCTTTCGAATACCTTCTATTGAGAAATGGTACCCCTTTCACATACCTAGTTTAGAACTTTGCAACTTAAATATGTTTAAATCACAAAACCAGAAAGTTTCCACGACCTTTTCAAAGCCATAAAGTGCATCTGTTAGCCCTTCTGGGCCCTTTCACAGACCCAAATACCCTTTTATGTACTTCAACTAGCCAAATTCCTACCCTTTCATATACCTGAAGCCTGAAAACGGTATGCTTTCGGGCGGAGCCTCCACGTATGGGCCATTATAGGAAGTACCCTTCCCCTCGGGAATTCAAGCCTTGCCTTTGCGTTGTTTTCTTAGACAAGACACTTTACTCCACCTTGTCTATCTCATTTCTCTCTCCACTCAGGCCTCAGCTGTTTAAAAGGTGGATAACACTATCCACTGGGAAAATCTCTAACTGGGGGTAGCCCAGTTAGTTGTCCTAATACTTATCTGCTGGATTAAGAGCTTATTCCGCAGCAGAGCTACAGGCCACTTCGGAGTTCCAAATACTCTCACTTTCAAAATAAGGCTAAGTGTAAAAATGAGTTTTATTTGCATGAGGATAAAAAATTATGTTCATATCAGTGGCTTTGCACTTGGCCTCGCTTTGGAACAGAGGCTTGGGGCAACTCGGAAATGGCCTGTTGCTATCCTTTTAAAATGACGAAAAACGTGCAAGGTTTAAAGGTAGGTGGGTAGGTGAATAGGTAGGTGGGTAGGTAGGTAGGTGGTAGGTAGGTAGGTAGGTAGGAAGGTAGGTGGGTAGGTAGGTAGGTGGGTAGGTAGGTAGGAAGGTAAGTGGGTAGGTAGGTGGTAGGTAGGTAGGTAGGTAGGTGGGTAGGTAGGTAGGAAGGTAGGTGGGTAGGTAGGTAGGTGGTAGGTAGGTAGGTAGGTAGGTAGGTGGGTAGGTAGGTAGGTAGGTGGGTAGGTAGGTAGGTAGGTAGGTGGGTGGGTAGGTAGGTAGGTGGTAGGTGGGTAGGTAGGTAGGTAGGAAGGTAGGAGGGTAGGAGGGTAGGTGGGTAGGTAGGTAGGTGGTAGGTGGGTAGGTAGGTAGGAAGGTAGGAGGGTAGGTGGGTCGGTGGGTAGGTGGGTAGGTGGTAGGTAGGAAGGTAGGAGGGTAGGTGGGTCAGGGCTCGAAATTGCGACCGATACGGTCGCATTTGCGACTTAATTTTTCTTATTTGCGCCTAGAAAAACGAGAGTAGTCGCAAATTTGTGACTAGGTTTTGCCTTAACTGATGCGAAATAAAAGGACTAGCACTTGAATTTTTGCTTAAATAAATTTAGAAATAAAAAGATTCATTGAAGTAGCGTCTTATAATTTTGTTACAATCTGAAGGTTTACCGTAATTTACCTGGAATGCATACACGCAACGATATTCCTTCAACAGTACGCCATTTTCAGCGGGTTCTGTAAACATGTACATTGCAGGCTCATATTTCGTTTTGATTTGCCGCTGACAGTCCCGCCAGCATGCTGAGGACTTTTCCCGCGTTTATGACCCGCGTTACGGCCCTCACAGTACACATGTGTTCTTCTTTAGTGAGTCAATTACGTCGGATGAAAGCGACTTAAATTGTTTCAAAGGTCACATTTTAAACGAAGAAATCGACCGAGCGAAAGTTATATACTCAAGAAAACAAGAGGAATTCTCACGTCTAATCAGTCAGCAGCCAAAACCAAGATAAAGTAATCTTCCTCGAGATGAATCTACGTATACATGAAAACAAGGTTTAGCAAACAAAGATGGCGGAATGTCCGCACGGCACGTATCGTCGTATTGAATGATTCAGTCCTTCAGGGTTCTTTGAATAATCACTGTAGTAACACCCCTGATACTTCAAATGTAAAGCTTAATATATAAAAGAATTCGTTACTTGTTTTGTCATCGGTGGAAAACCTGCAAAAGGTAAAACTAAAGGAATTTAGTTACGTAACGTAACCTATAACCATGTCGGATGTCCGCCTAGTACAAATGTTATTGCTATTTTGCAGAGATTGGAGGCATTTAAGAACTGCAGTTTCCTGCTGTAATATCTGTTCATGATTTGGAAATCTATTGCTTTGACTAAAATAACAGACACTAATTTATGTGCCTTAACGCAGGTTCAACTTGATCGTTTAGATGAACTGGTGTTGTCCGAGACGCTAAACGTTCTGTACTATTAAGTCTCGAAATGACATGAAAGCTGTTGAAAGAATGAAAATTAAAGCGTTAATCATTTAAAAGCCTACTTATTTCTTGATTAAATGGCCTCAATTAATTTCGCGACTAACATTTTCAAAGTTGCGACCAAATTTTCGTAACTAGTCGCAAATTTGCGACCAGACATTTTTTTTAATTTCGAGCCCTGTGGGTAGGTGGGTAGGTAGGTAGGTGGTAGGTAGGTAGGTAGGTAGGTGGGTAAGTAGGTAGGTAGGTAGGTAGGTAGGTGGGTAGGTGGGTAGGTAGGTAGGTAGGTAATTGGGTAGGTAGGTAGGTAGGTGGGTAAGTAGGTAGGTAGGTAAATGAGTGGATAGCTAGGCAGGTAGGTGGGTAGGTAGGTAGGTAGGCAGGTAGGTAGGTAGGTGGGTAGGTAGGTGGGTAAGTAGGTAGGTAGGTAAATAGGTGGGTAGGCAGATAGGTAGGTAGGTGGGTGGGTGGGTAGGTAGGTAGGTAGTTAGGTAAGTAGGTGGGTAGGTAGGTAAGTAGGTAGTTGGGTAGGTACGTAGGTAGGTAACACTTAATTTAAAAATTTCATATTTGTACGTACTAGGATGGACACCATCTTACCTTTATTTTGCTGGATTGTTCCTCCATGAAATATTGAAAACTGACGCCATCTCTGCTATACTGCACTTTGTATTTCGTTACCCACTGATCGTTGTTATTTTTGCCTTGTGTTGCTAGGGCAGTGACCTTGGTGTGCGAATTACCCAAATCGACTTGAAGCCATTGAGAAACGTTATTATATTTTGCTGACCATGATCCGCTTTTGCCTGAACCAGCTTTAGCGAAGAGCCTTCCACGAGAGGCAGCGTGATTTTCATTCCGCTGCGAAGAAGCACTCATTTGCCCATCAGAGATGGCACCGCTTTCTACACCGAGAGCATCATGGCATTCTGGGATACAATTAAACTGATCAATATCAAACAAACAAGGTAAACCATTTTGTCGGGTTCGTAAGACTTCTTTTCTGTGGCAAAGGTATTATTATTGAGGTATTAAGCAGGTTTAGTTGGCGAGAAGAAGGTTGACACTTCATAACGTTTGTGATCTCCGAATAGAATGCCGAAGTAACGAAGACGACGACGGCAAGGAAAACGTCGCCAAAAATAAAATCAATTTACGTCCTTTTAAACTTTATCGCATCTATTTGCACCCGCTCAATTTGTCAAATGCAGGAAGTTTTTCCTAGAGTTGAATTCCTAAGGACTTTATCCAGTTTCAAAACGAGAAAGGAAAATTCGTCGTCGTATGTTTACGTCCTCCATAAAAAGGCGTATTAAGGGGTTTCACGTCGTACTCGTACGCGTGCAGAAAACGTCAAAGAAATGAACCAAAAAAGTGTGATGCACGTGCAAAGCTGTTGTTTTGCTCATAAAAACAATTGGTTTTTGACGTTGTCGTTTTCGCCGTCATCGTGGTTGCTTAAAGCTTCCTAATAACGCACAGTAAACATAACGATGCATGTTACACAAAGCCTTGTTACAAGTTATCTGATTAGCGACCTCTAGTGATATTCACTGACCTTTATTACACTGTCCAATAACGATGCACTCACAACGGAATGATCCATGTTCATTCACACATTTCTCGTTAAGTGAACAGTTATTGAAGCTGGAGGACCCACATTCGTCAACGTCTGAACAACACGCAAAAACATGTTAATGGTTACGCTCTGCGAGGGTAACTTTTAAAACAAAACATCCGTTGGTTCTCTAAACTAAGTAGGAACAAAAATGATGCCAAAAATTTATACTCAATAGTAATATCATTGTGAGTCTGGGAGTAGTTATAATGAATAATTAATAAAAAGGTTATTGAATATGTTTAATGTACCTTTCCATTGTTTTGAAAAGATTGTAATTTTCAACAACTGGAAGAGCAGGTCACGGAAGACAGGTGGAGCAGGAGGTCATTATTAGGAATAATAACCCACTCTTCCATTTCAGTGGCCCTAATAATGACCTGGTGGTTCTAAAACAATAGAAAGGTCCACTAAACCGGATAATGCCCTTCTTAAAAAATCAATCATAACCTCGCCCTACGCGCTCGGTCATTATTTTTAAGAAGGCATTGGAGCTGTTAGAATATTCCCCTTAAAATACTGACCTTTGCAGATAGAACCTTCTTTAACAAATCCGGGGAGACATTCACAACGAAACGAACCAGGCTCATTTATGCATTTCATGCCCCCCGGCATACCTAGCTTGCAGTCGTGCAATTCCTCATCGCATTCATCAATATCTGTCAACATTGAACAAGAATGGCGATATAAAAAAGGGGTAGAAAAACTATTTTTTAGATCTACAGAAAATAAGAGTCAATCCATTGCACTTTGTATCAGTGGCTACTTGTGAGTTTGCCCAAGAGTCTGTTTCGATGTTGTGTTCAATTGCATTGTGGGACACTATCGCCCCTTCAATAGTTCTGTAGCGATACTCACGCGCATTAGTTTTTCTAAAAAAAGCGGGAAGTTCTTTTGTTTCACTCGTTGTCTGTAAACAGTGATGTTTCCTTTTGACTTTTTCAAGCTCGCACAGGAGTGTGGGTAAAAATTCGTCCCCCAAGACGCTCCCTCAATGCAGTTCGACACAACCCCGACCCAGTCTCTTGCGAAATCAGTCTCAAAATGGCCAATCTCTGAGCCTGATTAACAGACTAAAGGCTGCGTTCACACTTGGTTCACCGGCACTGGTTCCCGAGTACGATACTCGCTAGGCCCTAATGTGAACGCACCTTTTGTTAAGTACCCGCGCTAGAATTTGGGCACGGTGCCGGTGCCCGAGTATAAGATCGAGACCTTGTAGTCGGGCACTAAAGTGAGCACCGGGTCTGTTTCATTGTTTTCGAACATTAATATCGCCGCCGTGACGTCATGTGCAATTACTCTATATTTGCAAGGGCGCAATGAACTATAGAGTGTTTTTACATGACGTCACGGCGGCCATGTTGGTGTCCCAAAGCAATCCTCTGGGAGTTGAACTCTTTTCTTATGCAAACGCTTTCTTTTGTTCCAATAAATTTGCATAGATGCTGGCCACGTGAGTGAAAACACTCTATAAACTTGGCTCTTGGCGAAGAGTATGAGTTGTTTTATGCATCTAGCTTCTGCGTATTACCTGTACATTGGTCGTTTATAAACTTGAACCCATCGCGACAGACACATCTGTAGCGTTTTTCTGTGAACCCAACTTCACATAACTCGTTTTCTCCTGGGCACGGATCATCGTTCATTTGGCAAAAGTTCTGAGTTAAAAAGATACCACATTAGATGTTTTATTAATTTGCAGCCTTAAATATGATGTGCATTATTTGTTTTTCAAGTTCTCCGTCATATACTACATCACAATAGTTAATCCGCAATGTGGGTTCCACAGTCTATATCCTACAGCACCTCTGTCACAATCTCCATTACCATGGTTATCAGCACATCTCATTTATATCGCTTCTTGGAATCACTATTTTCAAGATCACATTGTTAGCATCATCATCAGAATCATAACTATCGTCATCATCATTAATAACAATACCAAGAACTGAATTATGATACATCTGTTATCATCAGCATTATCAACATCATTATTGTCATCATTAGTATCATCATCATCATCCAAACCATAATCATCATCTTCATCGCCTCCATCACCATCATTGTCATCAATATTGTCACCATCATTCATCATTATCAGCAGCAGCATTAGCAATATGGTCATCATCATTATCATCATCAACATCACCATCACCATCATCATCATCATTATTACATGTATGCCCTGAATCGTTATCGTCATCATTCAGTACGTACGAACCAAAAGCCAGTTTTAACATACCTCAATAGCAAAGTGAATGTAATGTTCCTTCTTTTTGAGCGAAGACAGTGAAGGGCTCTCGTCAGTGGCATTGTTAAGTTCGCATGTTCTTGTATGAGCACCTCCAGGACCCACGTTAATAGACACGCATTTTGGTTCCAAAAAACATTTCACCCTGCAGCCCCCTTCATTGAGTACCTTTTCAGTTCTAATCACGTGATCTGGAAGCACTCTGTCTGGTATGGGTTCCTTGAATATTATGATACGGTTGTATTCTATCGACAAAACTGACATAAAAAGTAAAACATAGATCATGAGCCCATCGAAACAAATTCACTCTAGAAAATTGCCAAATTATATATACCTGGATTTTTGAAAACCGGGTTAGCAAAAATATCAACTCATTCTACTACTTGGCAATTTAAAACAACAAATTCAAAGGCCGATTAAAAGCCTTCATATGACGCCAGGCAGTAGGTTAATGGTCCCTAGAAGCATCCCAACGAGTCCAAATTTAAAATGACGCAAATTGTAGAACATTTATTCAGTAAACTGACTTCGCGAAGTTTCAAACCTGTGTCATTTCAGTCTAGAAATTTTTAAGTTGAGTGAGCTGCAGCGAAAGAGCGCCTGGTTAAGGCTTTCATAACAACTTAAATAGTTAGCAAAACACTACTTTTTTCGCGGTCCGATAAACAACAGGATTCCGCATGGAACAGACAACAAACTGAATGAAACATAGTGCACAAATTATCACCTTCTTATCTGCAAAAACCGGCCTATGGTGCAATGCCATTAGAGCCCGCTGAAACTAGACCTAGATCCAATTTTCCTCAGTCGAGAGTTGCTTTTCCAAGGTACAATCAGCTAAGCTAAACACCGACGAAACAATCTTAATGACTTGCACAGAATATTTTGGAGAAACCACTGTTCAACCACGCGATCACATACCTGTCAACACCATGCGGGAATCACACACTTTCGCGGCAATGATAAGACTATCCATAACCACGCATAATCTTCTCACGTTTAACATAAGCGAAATATCATCGAATAACTCGGAAAAACTCAGCCTATTGCCAGATAAACACCTTTGGACTTTCTCTTACACTCGTCTTATTAAAGTTCCCGGATGTAAAGTCACACGGTCGGCGGATCACCTTAGCCTTGTTGTTTTCAAGAAAGTTCACCTGCAATTTTGCTCTCACCTAATTCATTTGACTTCTAAGAGCCTTTTCCCGAGGCCAAAGACTTAGTGGTCACCTTAGAAAAGTGAACAATATCGTACCTTTCTGTCTAAGCCTGGATCAGGGCGATTAATCCGTTTAGCCAAATGAAACGAGAGTATAATACGATATTGGACGATGCAGACTCTGCGAATTGTAATAACTTTGTCCCATCGCTGAGAAGCCAAAAAAATACGACATAAGCAAAAAACACAGTAAACAAGCTATTAGACAGGGGAAGTTGAGAAAAATTACAAAATGTTTGCTAACCCGGTTTTCATAACTCCAGGTAGATATTACAACGAATTTTACACCTCAGCCATCCAAATGCCGTATCATCATATATCTCTGCAGCTGCATGTTGTAAATTTATGTGGTTATTTTGTCTTCAATAAAACATAATAGCTCTGCAGTTTTTTCTCTAAAGAATGAAGATTTTTAAAGGCCTTTATCCTGTTTTGTTCTCATTTGAAAGAACTTAAACGCATATTGATAAAATCTTAACTTCTTTTTTGTAAATTAGTGCTTTCAGTGGCAATATTGTATTAAAATTGGTAAATTTGGGTGAATGAAAAACTGTCTTCCTGTTTGCAACATCTAGTACTTTTTTTCTACGAGGAAAAACCTGAACATTTTACATTGAAAAACGTATCCCTTTAACTAACGGGAAATTTACAATTATTGTATATTTTATGGTTTACAGGCTATTATTTAGGGTTAAGAGTTTTGTATATCATACAAGTTTGTCGGATTATTGAAATACGAAAAAACAATAAAAGCTCAAAAATTGAAAAGATTGCCTGCCGATAAGAACAAAACTTACCAGTACATAAAGAAGTACAAAAAATAAGCCAAGTAATCCATGCAAGTAGAAGAAACGAATTTATAGACGCCATGAAAGTTCACTTAACTAGTTGCCGTAGAACTGGTGTCGGGCTCAACTATCTCCTTTTTTAATATTACCTGTTTTGCGCTGTTTATTCATTAATAAAGCATTTCGAAATAAGAAACGCCCTTGTCTAAACCCACGTCTTGGTAAAAATGGAATTTTTTAAAGTAAGTAAGGAAGGAGTTTTGCAAACTGTGCGTAAACTAATTGAAATTTTATTCGACTAACAGAGAGCTCAGTGCCGATAAGAGTCAGTTATCAACGTCAAATTTCCGTCCTTTCTCGTCTCTCTAGTTTTCATCCGTCAAAAACAAAGTAATGAAGAAGGGCGAATTACCATAGATGACCATGACAACTTCCTTAAGAAAGATTATGATAAATATTTATTGGCACGCGCTAGGGGTTTGGCAGGTGATATTGTGTTCTTTTGTTTTCTTGTTTTTAATTGTTTTTTTTGTTTTCATAATATGGCCACCGGAATCATACAGTGAAAAGCCACTCAATGCTTTTAAGTTTTAATGAGGGACCCATTTACGTGTATATTAAGTATTTATCAGATACTTAGAGATACGGCATTGTAGCTGTGTTTTTCAACAATTTCAAGTCAATGCAAATCACCGTGGAAACCAACGTACCCTTAAGATACTAAACAAATACTTAAACTAGGAGGCACGATTTGTAGATCATTCCTTCCTCAAACAATACTTACATCAATCAAACTACACGCAAGGTTGCAGTGATTCCGTAATAGTTATTCTTCAAAAGGCCTTGGGTCGATTCTCGTATATCTTGTATGGAAGTTGCAACAATAATCATTGTCAAAACTAGATATACAAAAGACACTGTAGTTTTGAAAGGTGAGAAAAGGGAGCTTTAGCACCGACCACGGCGACGGAGGCGGAAACGTCACTTTAAAAATCAATTCGCGTTTTTTCAAACTTTTCCGCGTTTATTCCAGTTCGCCTGAAATGTTAAAGTGGGCGAATTTCCCGGGAGTTGATTTCTTGGGGACCACACTAAAATTTAGAAAGAGAAAGAAAAATTCGTCGTCGCTTGTTTACGTGAAATTCTGCATTTTCACGTCGTAGTCGTGTAGAAACGGCAGAGAAACGTACATGCACGTGCAAATTTGTTGTTTTGCTTAATAAGGCTATTGCTTTTTGGACGTTCTCGTTGCCGTCGCCGTCGCTGTTGCTAAAGCTTCCTAATTCACCATGGGCTCCTGCAAATATATAGATTTAGCCGAGGCTAAAGACGAAGCTCCAATTACTATGAAAAAACATGAGACATATCCAAGGTAGAAATAATGCTAACGCCCGGGGGTCAGCCCGGGCGGGAGGGGGGAGGGTGGGTGCAGCTGGAATTGACTGATGCATAAATGACATTTAACACCTGGAATCAAGCAACAAATTTACTCCGTTTAGAACCAAAAACTCTAATTATCATTCGTTGCAAATGTTTCTACCTTTTCAACTAAAACAGGGCAGAGATCCTTTTTTCATTTAAAGAATTGTTAATGTATGAAAATTTATTTACCATTGAAATTAAGCTTCACTTCACCCTGCAGCCCCCTTCACTGAGTACCTTTTCAGTTCTAATCACGTGATCTGGAAGAACTCTGTCTGGTATGGGTTCCTTGAATACTATGATACGGTTGTATTCTATCGACAAACCTGACATAAAAAGTAAAACATAGACCATGAGCCCATCGCGACAAATTCGCTCTAGAAAATTGCCAGATTATATTACAACGAATTTTACACCTCAGCCATCCAAATGCTGTATCATCATATATCTCTGCAGCTGCATGTTATAAATTTAATTAGTTATTTTGTCTTCAATAAAACATTATAGCTCTGCAGTCTTTTTTCTAAAGAATGAAGATTTTTAAAGGCCTTCATATTGTTTTCTTCTCATTTGAAAGAACTTAAACACATATAGATAGAATCTTAACTTCTTTTTGGAAATTGCTTTCAGTGGTAATACTATATCATAATTAGTAAATTTGAATGAATGAAAAACTGTCTTCCTGTTTGCAACAACTAGTACTTATTTTCTGCGAGAAAAGCCTGAACATTTTAAACTGAAAAACGCACCCATTTAACTAAAGGGGAATTTACAATTATTGTATATTTTATGGTTTACAGGCTATTATTTAGATTAAGAGTTTTGTACATCATACAAGTTCGTCGGATTATTGAAATACGAAAAAACAATAAAAGCTCAAAAATTGAAAAGATTGCCTGCAGATGGGAACAAAACTTACCAGTACATAAAGAAGCACAAAAAATAAGCCAAGTAATCCATACAAGTAAAAGAAACGAATTTATAGAAGCCATGAAAGTTCACCTGACTAGTTACCGTGGAATTGGTTTCGGGCTCAATATCTCCTTTTTCAATATTACATGTTTTGTGCTGTTCAGTAATCATTAATAAAACATTTCGAAATTAGACGCGCCCTTGATTAAGCCTACGTGTTGGTAAAAACGGAATTTTTTTAAGTAAGTAAGGTAGGAGTTTTGCAAACTGTGGGCAAACTAACTGAAATTTTATTCGACTAACAGAGAGGTCAGTGCCGATAAGAGTCACTTATGATCGTCAAATTACCCGTCCTCTTTCGTCTCTCTAGTTTTCATTAGTCAAAAACAAAGTAAGGAAGAATTACCGTAGATGACCATGAGAACTTTCTTAAGAAAGATTATGATAAATATTTATTGTTAGGGCTTTGGCAGGTGATGTCGTTTTCTCTTGTTTTTTTTTTTTTTCCACCGGAATAAGACAGTGAAATGCAAATATCTATACCACTCAGAGCTTTTAAGTTTTGATGCGTGCCCATTCACGTGTATATTAAGTATTTATCAGATACTTAGACATAGGGCATTGTGGCTGTGTTTTTCAACAATTTCAAGTCAATGCAAATCACCGTGGAAACCAACGTACCCTTAAAATACTAAACAAATACTTAAACTAGGATGCACGATTTGTAGATCATTCCTTCCTTAAAAAATACTCACATGGACAATCAAACTACACGCAAGGTTGCAGTAATTCCATAATAGTTATTCTTCAAAAGACATTGAGTCAAGTCTCGGATATCTTGGAAGTTGCAACAACAGTCATTGTCAAAACTACATATACGAAATTAGTTTTAAAGGTGGCAAAATATTAAGTATTAGGAA